ATAGTATATATATATATATATATATATATATATATATATATATGTGTGTGTGTGTGTGTACTAGTGATTTGTAGAACAGGATCGTATGGGGATGCGTAAAAGAAAACAATGCAGAGAACTAGGAATTGAGTCCATGAGATATACATGTGCATATATATGTATATATGTATGCATGTATGTATCGGTATATGTAACGCCTCTGCTTTGCGTGCGGGTTCGCTGCGCAAGTGAAAGAAAGTGGTCATTTTCTTTTTCTATACGACACCTTTCTGTTCGGGCGGAGCCACAGAGGGGTGGTGTTTCGCTGCTACCCTCCCGTACCATCATCGTGATGCACTTCTCTCCTCTCTGTACGGTTCGCCTCTTTCGTGGCGCCTGCAGCAGAGCGCCACGTTTTGTTTTTCTTCTTTTACTTCTTCTCTTGCGGTACGAAAAGGAAAAGAAAAATAAAGGCGGTGGGGGTCATCGAGCCCATTCGTATCCCCGTCGTCCCTCAATCCCTTTGCCATCGCAGAGAAGTGCGGAGCCCACGCGCGCATTTCGTGCTTGAATTCTCATCAGATTCTTTTTTGTTTTTACAGAACCCGGCGTGGGTGCACTCACCGCCCAATATTCCCTTCTTTTTCTTCTTTCTTTAGAATCTCCTAGATAATGACTCCACCCACGCTGTGCAACCCCCGTGCAAGACCACCAGTTTTGGATCGTGTGTACGTAGCTGACCAACAACGTCCCATTTTATTGTTCTTATTCCTTTCACTCGTGAATGTTTCGAAGCTCGCTGTGCCTGGGCGTACTTCAGAATCTTTACATCCGCATTCCGTCACTGCAGTGCAACGCGCGTCGTCGCCGTAGTCCGAACGATGTGAGCGCCACTGCGACCCCGTCTGCGTCTACACCGCCTTCAGCGGCCGGGGCTGCGCCATGCCACTCAGAACCCGCTACCCCTTCGCCAACAGCGGCTACTGCCGCTCATTGCTCTTGCCCGGTTACGACGGAGCTTACGCACACCGACGCGCCATCTCCTTCTTCGGGCCTTGTGGGTGCACCGTCCTGTGTTTTTGGAGAAACTGACGACACGAACGGCGTGGACGTCGACGGGTGGTCCATCGGTGCCGCTCTGCAAACCGTCTTCCCTCCCACACCGACCATCACAGGTTTTTGGATGGGCAACCGCTTTCGCTCATCGTGGCTGCACTATGTAAGTGCGCATGTGCTGATGGTGCCGGCGCGACAAGCCGTCGAGCCGATGGCTACACACATGGCAAAGAATCGAGCTCATGACGACCCGTCGGCATTCACACGCACACACAGTCGTGTAGACGAAGCGACGGACGGTGCGGTTGCTGGTGAGGCCACCACGACCCCTTCTCCCAGTCCCTCGTCGTCTCCTCCTTTCTCATTTCTTCTGGATGTCGCCAACCTACCGTGCGGTGCTGGCGTACGGACGCCGGCGTCGCTGGTGTCTGCCGCGGACCCGCAGTGGATGGCGCACGTACGGAATGCCAGCGATCACAGCGGGGCCTTTTCAGAGAACACTGGTTTGCGTAATCCGTTGACAGAGCTCCTCCAGGATACGCCTTCGGTGCACGAAGAAGGCAGCAATGGAGGGAGGGAGGAAGCGGCTCTGCCAGCACGTGTGTTGACATCGTGTCCGAAAGCCTGCGACACGTCATCTGGTGTTCGTTCCTCGCCACTGCAGAAGGCTGAAACCTCCGCGGGAGCGGCGGTGTGGTCATTGCGTGTGGCGCACACGGACGTGCAGGTGTGTGCGGATGTGTCGTCCGTTTCCCTGCGGTCCTTTGCCCTGCAGGAGCTCGGTCAGCGCGTGCCGTCGCTGCTCTTCCTCGCTGAAAAACCATACGCTGTCGGCGACGAAGATGTGATGGACTGCGTTGCGTGCCTTGACAACGACACAACAAGCGCAACAGTTATAGATTCACCTTCCCGCGTATCGGACTCTGCGGGGTCTGCGGTCGTCAGGGCTGCCCGTCGAGTCCCGATAGAAGCCTATGCGGAGCGCACCCCACTCATACAGACCTGCGGTACTGCGGCGCTGCAGTTGTCTCTGCAGCGTGCCCTCGCGGCGGCTACCTGGCTAACTCAAACGGCGAAGGAGGAGCCCGGGAGCCACACCTGTGTTTCTGCGCCTTGTGGGGAGTCGCCGCGGCACCTTGTGTGGCACGAGAAGGACTGGGTCGTGGAAGCAGATGGCCAACTGGCCGCCATGGAAGAACAACTCTTGCCATTGTTTTCACAAGAGTGCGTGAACGGTAGCACGCTGACTTGCGCAGCCCGGAAGAAACAGCCGCCACGACAGCAGCAGCAACAGCAGCTCGCATGTGCGTCTTCAGCGAACGTCCCTTTGCGTGCATGGCTGCCATCTCGCTGGGCACCGAGCTCTAAGTCGACGGCGATGGCGTTGCTGTCAACGATGGTGCCTCGGACATACAGCGCAAAAGAGCTGAAGAGCGACCTTTGCGGTTGCCGCAGCCATCTCACCGCGGACTGGGCGCTGCCTGCTGGAGCGGCACCGCACCGCACCGCCTGCAAGAGCTGGACGTTTCGCCTCCATAAGTCGTGGCTCGTGACCGGTCTCCGCCAATCCCCTCCGTCGCTTCCTACCTTCGCGCAGCACAGCAGAAATTCGGTTGGCGCCGCCGCCGGGAGTAGCGCTGTCTCGCTCCACGTCTGCCGCGATGAGCCGCTCCGACTGTTTAACTACGACCTGCACACGGGGATGCCACTGAACCTGCTGTGGCACCGACTGGGTCTGTCAATGAAACCAAAACAGCAGCAGCAGCAGCGGGAAGAGGAGTTCGGGACGGGACTGCCGTCGCTTTGTACACGCAGCGGCGGCGGCTCCAGACCCACCGCGTCTTCAACTCCGGTGTCACCGGCCCGTAAAGCAGACGGCTGTAACACCGCCGCCTCCGCTATCACGTTCACCTCCACCGACACATGGATGGAGTCTTCACCGTTCCAACGCGCTACCAGGTCGCGACAGGTGGGTTGGGTACGCATGGAGCGAACGTCGGGTTCATCGTCGTCCCGCGCCGGGCGCTCCCCGCAGTGGCGTCTTCCGCCCGGCATTCCATCCTTTGTCATCCCCGACGATGCCGCTCGTGTGCGGGCGCCGCGGCTGACGGACAACGCAGCGCGCCCTTCACCCTCTTCATCGGCGGTGTCGGTGCCTTCCTGTTGTGCAGGCGTGACGGTGCCGCAGCGGGAGTGGTACACGGGTTTCTTCGCACACGACGCCCCGTTGTGGTGGAAAGATGCTGTGCTCCACGCGCTACGCATGAAGGCGAGTCCGCAGGATGCGCACCGAGCTAAAACGGACAGCAACAATGGCGGTTGTCCTCAACCCCAAATGGGGACTTCACCACAGAACATCTCAGACCATGACGGTGGCAGGGTCCTGCGAGACGGCAACGGCTATGGGTTGATTGACGAACTCATCCAGCAGCGGCACATACCCGCTCTACCGGATGGTGTAGTATCGACAGTAGATTCGGGTATACCAAACCCCTCCGCGGCAGACGCGGCTAATGGGCTGACGGTGTGCGTGCTGCGCCTGCGGCCTTTCCCTCCCACTTTCATTAAAAAAGCGGAAGATCAAAAGACTTCCTCAACGATACCGCAGCTCTTCTGGACCACGATTCACGACGATTCCAGCGTGGCCACGGTGAACTTTGTTTTTACGCTGAAGGACATCCTGGAAATGCACGCCGTGGTGCCTTCGGTGTCAGGGGACGTCCTCAGGGACAAACCAGCAGCGACTGCCTTGGGAAAGAAGAATTTCCTGCTTTTTATGGAGGTGAAGGCGGCCTTCGAAGTACTGCGTCGTGCGACGAGCGCCGCCGATGCGTCGCCCAATACGCCGTACAGGTGGTGGCCGCTCCTCGACAACTTCTATCGCACCCACACCGTGAAGTGGGAGGCCGGCGACACGCACCGTACCCCCTTCGACGCAATGGCAGAGGAGCCGGCCTCAGCGAGCGCAACACACGGCGATGTCCATCCAGCACACAGTGTAGATGAGAACGACTTCATGGAGCGTAGCGGCAGTCAAACAGCGGTGCCCGCGTATTGTCACCCGACGCCGCTCGAGATGGCACGCGAGTTCGTACGGCTCGTTACGCAGCCGCCGTCAGCTCGCGTGTCCTCCACGAACGCGCCCTTTGAACTTCTGCGTTGTGCGGAACACGACGAGCTCGTCAGCGAAGGCTCCGGGCAGAGCAACAACAGTAAAGGCAATTCCCCGCATGCCATGCTGACCGAGTGGCCACGCGCCGCCTACCACAAGCTCATGCACGTCGACCTCTTTACCCCGTCAAACTCCTCAAGCGCACAAGGGGAAGAAAACGACGACGGTGGCGCAGAACATGGAGAAGACGATGATGTCCTGGACGCCATCCTCGATCGCAACGGCGACCTTCTAGGGGAGGGTGGATTAGACAGGGAGAAGGCAGGCATGGCACCGCCTGATGCACCACAGCTTCCCTTTGGTGTAGAGGTGCACCGGTACGATGAGGACGGCACACGTCTCTATGGTCTTGAGAGCGATGAAGGCGGCAGCATCAAATCTTCCGGGGCTGCGGATGCCACAGACGCCGAGAGAAACAACACCTGCGCACCTCCACCTTTTCTTCTTCCCTCCGTCACTGGCCACGACTGGCCTGCGGTGGATAGACGCCCTTTCCTCCGGGGCAATCACCGACTGGAGGACGCCATACGGCCACCCACGACATCGCGGACAGCCCTCGCTGCGGGTGGGGAGAGACAAAAGCCGCCTGTCCCGTACATGCACTTCCCTGCGCTACCGCCCGTTGCGGTAGGCACCCTCGGCATAAAGCGGGCCCGCTCCATCGTGGCAGCGCACGAGCAGAGTAAGCGGTACGGATACCTGCCCGTGGGGGTTGGGTGGCGGCGCGACGGGCAGCAGGGTTTGGGTCACAACAAACACATCGAAGCTCCTTCATGTGGCAGGGCAGCGTCCACCCTGAGCGCCAACTCGGGGTCGACGACGTCCTCGTCGGACGAGGCGGCGGAGGAGGCGGCAGCAACGGCCAAATCAGAATCGATGGTCGACAACGCGGCGAACGCGGCGGAAACGAGTCCGCAAGGCGAGACGTTCGGCGATGGGGTTGCGGTGCCGAGCAGCGTTGGCATTCCTTCATCCCGCAACGTCGAAGGAAAGTGGGAGCAGGACAACGCGACGAGCAACGTCGCCGTCTCTTCACTGGAGTCGAAAGCTGCGGTCAGCGCGCTGGCGGCAGGAGCGGACCGAGTCAGAGATGACCGCGGTGCCGTGCCGGGCGTCACCGGGCCGTTGGATGTGGTGGAAACGCTTCTACACGATGAAGAGCGGGCCTTTTTGCGTCTCTGGCGGCCATGGCTGAAGTACCTCCCGCCTGAGTGGCCACCGCACATCGTCCAACCCCCCAACAGCCACGACAGCGACGCTTCCTTCATGGCAGGGCAACTCTCCAATGTGATCGCCATCGCCATCGCCAGCGACCCACAGCTGGCATTTCCCTTTCTTCGACCTTCTCGGCTCCGAGCCTGTCATCTACGGCGAGCAACATCAGACAGCCACACCGAAGATGGTGAGACAGTGCACGCCGAAGACCACCGCCGTACCAGCAAAGACGAGAGCACAGGTGTGTGCGACGACATCGTGCAAGCCTACGATTTAGGTTTATGCATCCTGCATCTGTCATACGATGAGGTGTACGTGAACGCATCGAACCTCATTTTTCAGAACAGCGTTACAGAAAGCTAAAACCCAGGCAACGCAAAATGCGGCAACAACGTCGCGTTTGTTGGCGGCGTGCGTTTCTTTTCTTTTCCACCTACTTTTTTGCTAAGCCATACTTTGGGTCGATGTACCATATCGGCCGTCGCGCAGTGGACCACAACATGAACACTCACGCCCCTTGTCGGGTGCCAGTTGCGCTCAGCCTTCAATGAGCATCAGTGCCTAGCAGAGCCGACAATCACGTTAGCACAGGAAGGAGATGATGTCACACAGTTGTAGTGCGCGACTGACGCCACGTGACTGACACAACACAACTCGAGGTGGGACGGCGTCCCACGCTCTCCTCTGACCCCTCTTTCTCTCATGCTTTTTGTCCTGCCGTGTGGCGTGTTCGCCGCTGCTGTTGCTGCTGGTGCTGCAGAATGCGGCACGTGCGCGCGTTGTGTGGCGGCTGCGGTGCGTGTGCGGGCTTGGTCACTGGCTGCGCGCGGCTGTGCGTGACGCGGTGGCTGCGGCGATGGTGTGCGGGCCGCGGAGGAGCACCCCTCTCTCCCTTCCTCCGTCTGGCCACCCCTCTGCCCGCCTGCGTGCGGCCGCTGCACCTGCGAGGAGTGCGATGATGAAAACACTTTCTAACGACGAGCGGACCGACTTGCACCCATGCGGACATTTCGAATGTGTACAAATGTTGAGCCTCCTGTGTGCGTGCGTGTGCGACCCTGTTCTGTTGCGGCCATGCGCTGCTGCCTGCCGTGCGTGTGTGTGTGCTGTTGTGCGCTGCTTTTCACTTGCTTCCCTTTCCGTCCACGCGACGTCTCTGTCTAACGGGGTGCGGCGCTCTTCCGTCAGCGCACCTCGATTTCAGGAGACGGAGAGTGCGCCTCGACGAGCGCTGTCCGAGGAGACCCGTAGCCGCTGCAACTCTTCTAGGTGAGACCCCGCGGGTGATAGTTCTCCGAGAGTGGCGCACCGCGTATAGGCCGGTGCGCGCGACGTTGGCGTGTGCGCTGCCGTGTGCCGCTGTGCAGGATGAGAGACATTCAACGGATCCCAATCAGAGCACTGTGCACTGAACCTCCGTACCGATGACAATCCGCACACACCTGGCTGACGCAGCCGGCACGCGAGAGGCGCTGTTACTATTATTACTACTGCTGCTGCTGCTGCTGCTGGATGCGGTGGGGAGAGACGCGTGAGGGAGCGTGATGTCACACAGTTGTAGTGCGCGACTGACGCCACGTGACTGACACAACACAACTCGAGGTGGGACGGCGTCCCACGCTCTCCTCTGACCCCTCTTTCTCTCATGCTTTTTGTCCTGCCGTGTGGCGTGTTCGCCGCTGCTGTTGCTGCTGGTGCTGCAGAATGCGGCACGTGCGCGCGTTGTGTGGCGGCTGCGGTGCGTGTGCGGGCTTGGTCACTGGCTGCGCGCGGCTGTGCGTGACGCGGTGGCTGCGGCGATGGTGTGCGGGCCGCGGAGGAGCACCCCTCTCTCCCTTCCTCCGTCTGGCCACCCCTCTGCCCGCCTGCGTGCGGCCGCTGCACCTGCGAGGAGTGCGATGATGAAAACACTTTCTAACGACGAGCGGACCGACTTGCACCCATGCGGACATTTCGAATGTGTACAAATGTTGAGCCTCCTGTGTGCGTGCGTGTGCGACCCTGTTCTGTTGCGGCCATGCGCTGCTGCCTGCCGTGCGTGTGTGTGTGCTGTTGTGCGCTGCTTTTCACTTGCTTCCCTTTCCGTCCACGCGACGTCTCTGTCTAACGGGGTGCGGCGCTCTTCCGTCAGCGCACCTCGATTTCAGGAGACGGAGAGTGCGCCTCGACGAGCGCTGTCCGAGGAGACCCGTAGCCGCTGCAACTCTTCTAGGTGAGACCCCGCGGGTGATAGTTCTCCGAGAGTGGCGCACCGCGTATAGGCCGGTGCGCGCGACGTTGGCGTGTGCGCTGCCGTGTGCCGCTGTGCAGGATGAGAGACATTCAACGGATCCCAATCAGAGCACTGTGCACTGAACCTCCGTACCGATGACAATCCGCACACACCTGGCTGACGCAGCCGGCACGCGAGAGGCGCTGTTACTATTATTACTACTGCTGCTGCTGCTGCTGCTGGATGCGGTGGGGAGAGACGCGTGAGGGAGCGTGATGTCACACAGTTGTAGTGCGCGACTGACGCCACGTGACTGACACAACACAACTCGAGGTGGGACGGCGTCCCACGCTCTCCTCTGACCCCTCTTTCTCTCATGCTTTTTGTCCTGCCGTGTGGCGTGTTCGCCGCTGCTGTTGCTGCTGGTGCTGCAGAATGCGGCACGTGCGCGCGTTGTGTGGCGGCTGCGGTGCGTGTGCGGGCTTGGTCACTGGCTGCGCGCGGCTGTGCGTGACGCGGTGGCTGCGGCGATGGTGTGCGGGCCGCGGAGGAGCACCCCTCTCTCCCTTCCTCCGTCTGGCCACCCCTCTGCCCGCCTGCGTGCGGCCGCTGCACCTGCGAGGAGTGCGATGATGAAAACACTTTCTAACGACGAGCGGACCGACTTGCACCCATGCGGACATTTCGAATGTGTACAAATGTTGAGCCTCCTGTGTGCGTGCGTGTGCGACCCTGTTCTGTTGCGGCCATGCGCTGCTGCCTGCCGTGCGTGTGTGTGTGCTGTTGTGCGCTGCTTTTCACTTGCTTCCCTTTCCGTCCACGCGACGTCTCTGTCTAACGGGGTGCGGCGCTCTTCCGTCAGCGCACCTCGATTTCAGGAGACGGAGAGTGCGCCTCGACGAGCGCTGTCCGAGGAGACCCGTAGCCGCTGCAACTCTTCTAGGTGAGACCCCGCGGGTGATAGTTCTCCGAGAGTGGCGCACCGCGTATAGGCCGGTGCGCGCGACGTTGGCGTGTGCGCTGCCGTGTGCCGCTGTGCAGGATGAGAGACATTCAACGGATCCCAATCAGAGCACTGTGCACTGAACCTCCGTACCGATGACAATCCGCACACACCTGGCTGACGCAGCCGGCACGCGAGAGGCGCTGTTACTATTATTACTACTGCTGCTGCTGCTGCTGCTGGATGCGGTGGGGAGAGACGCGTGAGGGAGCGTGATGTCACACAGTTGTAGTGCGCGACTGACGCCACGTGACTGACACAACACAACTCGAGGTGGGACGGCGTCCCACGCTCTCCTCTGACCCCTCTTTCTCTCATGCTTTTTGTCCTGCCGTGTGGCGTGTTCGCCGCTGCTGTTGCTGCTGGTGCTGCAGAATGCGGCACGTGCGCGCGTTGTGTGGCGGCTGCGGTGCGTGTGCGGGCTTGGTCACTGGCTGCGCGCGGCTGTGCGTGACGCGGTGGCTGCGGCGATGGTGTGCGGGCCGCGGAGGAGCACCCCTCTCTCCCTTCCTCCGTCTGGCCACCCCTCTGCCCGCCTGCGTGCGGCCGCTGCACCTGCGAGGAGTGCGATGATGAAAACACTTTCTAACGACGAGCGGACCGACTTGCACCCATGCGGACATTTCGAATGTGTACAAATGTTGAGCCTCCTGTGTGCGTGCGTGTGCGACCCTGTTCTGTTGCGGCCATGCGCTGCTGCCTGCCGTGCGTGTGTGTGTGCTGTTGTGCGCTGCTTTTGGGTCCCTTTTATTTCCTTCTCTTCTGTTATCCCTGAACGGATGATCTCGTGGATGCACGAAGAAGTTCAAATGATGAAAGGTTGGTTTTACCGAACGAATTCACCTCTGTGGTTTCTGCTCTCGCCAGGCCATGTGAGATTCCTTGAGGAGCGCGTTGTGTGGGGTCTCTACAGGCTGCTGTCAATCCCCCCTGCCTTTGTGGTTCCTCATTTCATCTCTCTGTTCCTCTTATGTTACTTACTTGCTGAGGCGTAGCTGCCGGAAAGTGTGTGTGTGTGTGTTAGGCGCGCCTCACCGATCGTCGAGGTGCATGCGCTCGTTTGCTCACAGCGCGGCACAACGAGGGCCTAGTGAATGCGAAGGTGCTGCATCACCTGCTTCCCACGCGTTTCGAGGTCCACCGTCTGTGAGAGACCCTTTCCAGCGCACGCCTCATTTCATCTACTAACTCGCTCATAGAAATAGATCGGTTTCTCCTACTGCTGTTCTATTGTTTGCTCATTTGCAAGCTTGCCTTTCTGTGTCATCGAAGTCTTTCGAAGTGTCAAGCGTTTACAGCACCACGCTGTCTGTCGACATTGGCTGTACATCACACTTGGCGAGACGAGTGCAGACGCACGACAGGTTCGAGCGCTATGCCACCCAAACGCAAGCGAACCGTAGCACGCCCAGCGAACAAGGCAGCGGCATCTGGAGGTCAACGAGCATCGCCCAGCTCGGCCTTGTCTTCCGCCCTCGCCGCCGTAAGGGCGGCGAAACGCAGCGCTGGCCCTGCAGGCGCTCGTACAAGCAGCAACGGCACCCAACAGAGTCGCAAATCAGCTCCGCAAACTCGCGCACCGAAAAGGAAGGGGACAAGGAGTACGGCGATAGCGAAGGGTTCGCGTACAACAGTGTCCGTGACAGCCGCCGTGCCAGCAGTGACTCCTTCTTCGCGAGAACCACCAAAGAAAGTGGCGCGTTCTGAGAAGCTGATGGCCGAGGCTGTGCCGGTCACTGCTGGGAGAACGACAGCGAGACGTACTACAAACGCACCAACACCGGTCGTCGCTGCAAACACTGACAGCGGCAGCAACCCCACCACAGCCAAACCCCATAACGGCCCCGTCACTGCCGAGGCGGCAGTCCAAAGTGTCTCCTCTTCTTCCTCCTCAATTCTGCAGCGCTATCTACCACCGGCGTCGTCACCTTCGCTGGATAAGGCGTGGAACTCGAGCGATGCGGTGGTGTTCTCCACCTTCCTCGCACAGGTGCAGTTTTCCTTTGTGCGCTGCTGCTGCCAGCTGCTGGCGAAGCTGACCACCGCCACCAGCCCAGCGTTTCTGCACGCCGCAGCGCTCGGCGAAGCAGCCCTGGCCTCCGCCGCCTCCAACGCCAGAGACAGCGTCGATCCCGGTGACGTCAACGCACTTTCGGCGGTGGACCAGCTGGCCGATCGGCAAGAGCAGGCCTACCGCACCATCCGTGCGACCATCGCCGCCTCCTGCGAACTGGGTCACCGATCGTGCCAAGTTTTGTGGGGTCCGCGTGGCAGCGGCAAACACCGCCTTCTGCGACTTCTCGCGCAGGAGGTGCGACGCACGCCGCGCACCTTCGTGATGGAGCTGCATGGGCGGCTGCTGCGCGATGATGAGGCGGCCCTTGGGGTGATTGCGCAGCAGCTCTTTGCGTTTCTGCAGAGCCCGCAGTCGCAGCAGCTGCGGGCTGCCCACTATTTGCTGCGCACGGGATCGTTTGGGTTTGGCCAGCTCTTTCACTTCGAGCGACGTATGCAGGCGGCGGCCATCGCAGCAACAGCAGTGATGGAGGGAGAAGAGGAAGACGAGACGCGTGACCAATCGGCTGCTCAACGACGCAGGGGTGCGACCGGCGCTGGGGTGAGGGGTGCCGGATCCGGCAAGCCTCCTAAGAAACGTTCCGCACAGCGCGGCAGGCAATCAGAAGTCGTGTTATCAGACAGCGACTCCGACTCAGCAGCTGAAGACGAGGAGGAGGATGACGAAGAGTTGGGCAACGCGGACATGATGGTCACCTCCACCACTGCCTACCTCACCGGCGGTGCCGCCAGCGCCTTACCCCACCTTCAGCGGGCGCTGCTACTCCTCAAGAGCCAAGGCTGCAGCATCGTTGTGTGCATCCGCGACATCGACGTCTTCGGCATTCGCTGCGACCAACTTCTGTACGTCCTGTCGGGTCTGATGCACGACAGTGAAGGCAGCAATGACGGGGGCGGTCTCTCGCTGGTGCTGGCGTCCGCCGCGCCGGACATACGCCAGCTGGAGAAGCGACTGTCGAGTCGCCTGACCTGCGAGACGCGCTACGTGCCGCTGCTACCGTGGTCCCTCAGCGGCCTCTTAGCGGCCACGTTGCACGTTGCGGCGCAAGATGCGTCGTTTCAGCTTCGACTGCGGGAGCAGAGCCGGGAGCGGGCGGAGCTGCTGTCAGCGCTGCGTGACGGTGCGACGCGGCTGCGCCGGGGCCGGGAAAGCCTCCCGCACAGTGGCGCTGCGGCGAAGAAGGCGGAGGCGAAGGCGATGAAGGAACTGCAGGACTCGATGGCCGGTCTGGAGGCTCGTCTGCACGTCGTGGAGGCGAATTTGCGCGAGACGCGCGCGCAGCGTCGACACTTTCTTGGATTTCTCGACACGGATTCAGCCGTCTCTGCCACTTCCGCTGGTGCTGGACACCTCTCCTCGACGATGCAAACCGCGAGTAGGAAGCCGCTTTCCGAAAGCGGTGCCCCTGCATTAGGACTTGTGAAGGCTTCGGGGTGGCGGCCTACACCTCCGTCTACGCAGCCGGCACGGATCGCCACAGCTCCGGCTTCGTCGCAGCAATCCACAACGTCGTCCGGCTTCGTCGCACCGCGATCCTGGACGGTGGAGGGGCTGCACGCGCAGCCCGGTCTTACACAGGAGGTGCAGTGTGTGCTATGCGAGGAGCTGCTGCGGCAACTGCGCGTGGCGGTGACCGCGGCGGCCGCGCTGCGAAAACCAGAGACGAAAGAAGGCGGCGGCGGTGTCGGTGCTGACGCCGCTACCTGTTTGGTGCAGCGGGTGGTGTCTCTCGGTGTGGAGATAGAGCTGGAGAGCGGCACGAGCGGCACGATGCTAACGGCGCTGACGAGTGCGCTGTGCAAGACGGCCAGCGGCGAAGTCGATTTGATGGGTGTTCATGGTCGACGCATGTTGCTGCAGTGGATGCGTGCACGGCTGCAGCACGCGCCGATTCCCTTGATGTCCGACTACACCGATGAGGGTGCGGTCAAGACAAGCAGCTCCGCCTGTCCGCCTGGGTTGCCGATGAGGATTCTGATAGTCTGGAGACAATCCGCCCAGTCACTAGCGTCTCCGTCGACGGCGGCCGCGAAGGTGGACAAGGCAAGCAGCGGCAGTAGTGATGCGCTGTCCTCGTCGAGCAGCCCTGTTTTGAAGCCGCCCTTCTCCCTTTCCACTGAAAGTGTTTCTCAAGGCGGCGCTGCCGACCAATCGCCTGCATCCACAACGGCAGGCGTGAATGCACCGTCGGTGTTGCACCGCCGTAGTGAGAGTCTCGCCCTTCTGCCCCCTCTCTCCCTTCTGCCGCCGCACCTCTTCGATCTCCTCGCGGAAGGGCAGCTGGTAGGCATGGGCTACGGCAGCCGGGAGATGATGTTGGTGCTCTTCTACATGCATCTGCACCACACCACCGGCGTGCGGCAGCGAACCGTAGCCGATCTGCTCGAGGACGTCTCTTCCTCGCTCGGCACGAGAGCCGCTGCTGCGCTGGATCGCGAGGCCTTCCGCTACGCCATTCGCCTGCTGTGTCGCTGGCGCCTCCTGACGGTGGGGGAGAGCCACGCACAGTCGGTGCAGCTGTGCGGCAGCGACACGCGGCTGCGGGAGTTCCTGGCGACGGTGCTGTCGAAGCATCCGGCGTGGTGCGAGGCGGAGCTCGGCCTCGACGCGCGGGAGGTCATGCGCTTTCGAAACCTTGTGTAAGTGAGGGATGAGGGAAAAGAAGAAAGGAAATGTTAATAATGCCGGCGCAATCGAAGAATAAGTGGAGAAAACGTCGTTGTGCGTGCGGGCTGCGCACCTCGCCGTGAAGGAGGGATATGGAAAAATCGGCTGTGGATCGATTTGAGTGCAAATGAGGTACACGGCAAGGTAAAGTGAAGGCGGCCGTCTCAACTTTTCTGCCCCGCTTCAAGCTGTTGTACCTGCAAACGACGCAATGTGGCGTAGCGATGATAAATACGAAGCGCTGTGGTTGGTGTTTTCTTTCTATCCTGCTTTGCAGCCTTTCATCTTGCATATGTACGCCATATTCTCCTCTTCCTTCTTGTCCCTTTCTCCTCTCTACGTGACCCATTCCAAAAGCCCCTCACTCAACTGTTGACGTCGGCACCATCACAACAGTCGTCAAGAAGCGTCTTTTTTTATTTCATTTCTCCCCTTTTTCGAAGATGTCCGACCAGCACGTAGAAGACGCAGCGGCGACGTCCACCTCGAACACTTCCATCTCCCTCCTCGGCCTGGTAGTCGCGTCGGGCTCAAACAACAGCGCATTGCCACCCTCGCCCGCCGCCGACACCGTCAAAAACGGCAAGACAGAACTCGCGCCAGTTGATGCCGTCAGTAGCGGTGCGGCAGCAAGTGCCGCTGGGGGTGAGAGTTCCATCACAAACGACGTCGACGCAGTGCACGAAGAGGTGGCGGTGGGCGCCGCCTCTAGCCACTTAGAGGACAGCGACGTGGCAAAGAGCGGTGCGGAGCACGACGACGAGGAGGAAGACGCGGCTGAGCTCGACACGGTTGCGGCGAATGACGTGAAGAACATCATCTTACAGGTGTTGAGTCCGTACTTTGACGACGACGTTAGTGCGACATCAGACGTGGGTGGTGGCGGAGGGGCTGGGGAGGGGATGGGTGTGGGGGGCAACGCCGGGCCGGGTCCGTCGGGTCCCCCCAACACGGGGGGCAAAGCGGGCACCGGAGCGCCGCCCCCCACCGCCGCGCCGCACGAGCACGAGGAGGAAATCAGCGAGGACGTCGCGCAGCGCTATGACCACGTCAAGTCCGAAATGTGGATTGCGCGGATTTGCGACGGCATCATGGAGCGGCTTGTCGGGCTCGGGAAGCCGTTTAAGTTTGTCGTCCACGCGATGGTGATGCGCAAGTGCGGGGCCGGGCTGCACGTGTGCTCCAGCTGCTACTACGCCCCTTCTGATGGGTGGCTGAGTCACTCACACGACCTTTCCGCGCATCTTTACGCGGTTGTGACGGTGTACTGGTGTGCCACATAAAGAATATAGTCTGCCCCACGAGGAGGAGAAAAAAAAGAGTGAAGAAAACACGGGAGACCTCAGAGTCCTTTTGTTTGGTGGGCCTGCGGTGATGGTGTGTCTGTGTGTCTGTGTAGTCGTTCAAAATAGCGAAGATGGCGATCTTCAGCTCTTTTCAAAGGAGCGTAGCTATTTTCTTTTCTTGTACTGTCTTTCAATGTAAACTAGGAACTGTAATATTCTGTATCAAACTTCTCCGCAGTAACCGACAACGATAATGACGACGGTAACCACAGCAAAAAATGCGGTGTGTGTGTGTGTGTATTAATCTGTTTATGAACTTTCGAAGTTCGTATTCGTGGGACGTACTCTCGCTGATTTTCCCAAATGCTGGGCAAAACGAATAAAGAAACGCAATTCACGTGTCCGCACTGACGCCTCCACACAAAAGCGTCGTGTGCCGCTTATTGAACGGAGCATCTCCTCCTCCGTCTCTCTTGCTGTCTTCATCGGAGCGTCCACCCCTCTCATCCACTCTTTCTCCCCTCCCCCTTCCCCGGCACAGCACAAGTAACGGTTCATCAGTAACGCTTAGAATTCAGTTCCTTCTTCTTCTTTTTCCCTGGTCGCCTTGATTTATAGTGGGTGCGGAAAGACCCTTCTGTATTTGTTCTCTCCGTCGCTGATTCCACACATTCGTAGTCACATATTAACTTCTCGAAGGCGTGCCACTCACACTCACACCGACACAAACAAGCACGCACGACTCTTCGACTTGCCGTTTTGTGTTTTTGAGTTTTCCTTCGTCATTCACATACGGTATCACAACTACCGCGGCAAAGAAAGAGCGTTGCAGCGATGTTCCGCTCCTCCGTGCAGCGTTTCGCCCCCAAGGGGAAGGAGGCCTTTGTCCGCGGCAAGCCGCACCTCATCATCGGCACCATCGGCCACGTCGATCATGGCAAGACGACCCTCACCTCCGCCATCACCACCGTGCTCGCCAAGACGGGGAAGGCGAAGGCGATGGACTACTTCGCCATCGACAAGTCTCCCGAGGAGAAGAGCCGCAAGATTACTATCAACGCGACGCACGTCGAGTACGAGTCCGATAAGCGCCACTACGGCCACATCGACTGCCCGGGTCACATGGACTTCGTGAAGAACATGATCACCGGCGCTGCGCAGATGGACGGCGGCATTATCGTGGTGGCTGCGACGGATGGCGTGATGCCGCAGACGCGCGAGCATCTCCTCATTTGCTCCCAGATCGGTCTGCCCGCCCTCGTTGGGTTTATTAACAAGGTCGATATGACGGACGATGAGACGTGCGATTTGGTGGATATGGAGGTGCGGGAGCAGCTGGAGAAGTATAAGTTCCCTGCCGAGGAAACCCCGATTGTGCGGGGCTCCGCCTTGAAGGCGCTGGAAGGGGACCCGAAATACGAGGAGAAGATTATCGAGCTGGTGAAGAAGTGCGACGAGTGGATCCCCGACCCGCCGCGCAACACCGATAAGCCCTTCCTCATGGCTATCGAGCACGTCTATGAGATTGGCAAGGACAAGAAGAGCGTCATCGTGACGGGCCGCGTTGATCAGGGCGTGCTGAAGCTGAACACGGACGCCGAGCTGGCCGGCTTCAGCGCCAAGAAGGCCACCGTGAAGGTGACGGGCATCGAAATGTACCACAAGACCCTCGAGGAGTGCATGCCGGGTGACTCCGTCGGTGTCAGCATCGTGGGCGCCGGTGACACGGTGAACCTGTCGAAGGACAACATCGAGCGCGGCATGGTGATGGCCGCGCCGGGCAGCACGAACCTGTACAACAAGGTGAAGGCGCAGGTGTACGTGCTGACGAAGGACGAGGGCGGCCGCCACACCGGTTTCAGTCCGCACTACCGCCCACAGCTCTTCTTCCACTGCGCCGACGTGACAGCTGACATGAGCTTCCCAGAGGCGGAGAAGCAGCGCGAGGAGCTGAACAAGAAATACGGCCGCGGCCCCGAGGAGGAGAAGAAGAAGGAGGCGGAGGTGAAGGAGTTCGAGAGCAAGCTGGTCTGCATGCCGGGCGACAACCGCGAGCTGATCCTTACGCTGGCCTACCCGATGCCGGTCTCGAAGGGTCTGAAGTTCACGATTCGTGAGGGCAAGATCACCGTGGGCTGGGGTGCGGTCACTGAGACGATGGGTCTGGACACCAAGGTCAACATTGAGGGCAAGCGCATCGGTGCGAAGCCGGTTACAGGCAAGAAGAAGAAGTAAAACTCTTGCGACGCTAAGGAAAAACGAAAGGCGGGAAAGAGCTCGAAGGTCAACAAGGGGAGGGGGGAGAACGGCGTCCCATTTGAGACGGCCGTCACACTTTCTCCTGTTGAGCTGGCCTCGACCTTTTCCTCTCTCCTTTGTTTCTCATTGTTTTTCTTCACTGCGGTGTTTCTTTGCCTATTATCTTCAACACCTGCGGTGGGCCCCTCCTCAGCGGCGTCGGCGTCAGCGGTACGAGCACAGACCCCCACGCACACACATACACATTGCGGCACACTGTGCGACCTCCCAGCCCTCCTCTCGCTCGCTCGCTCTCCCTCTCGCCTCACCTCTGGGCGGTGCTCGCTGCGTACTTCACAGATTACCTTTTTACCTTTACCTTGTTGTTGTTGTTTAACGTACGGATGGAGTGGTCTTCGTGGGGGCCTCGAAGGCCAAGAAGGAAAACGGGAAAAGGAGGAGAAGAGGGCAATACAAGAAATTAGAAAATGAAGATGAAAACACGCGAATGTAACTGTGGCTTTTCTTCATGCTCTGCTTCTTCTTTTTGTTCTTGCTCGCCTCGTCGGGGTGTGCCTCGTCACAGCCCGTTCTTTTCGTTGTTGTTGTCGTTGTTGTTTTCCCTGTTGAGGCATCTTACCCGCACCTCTCGGTGACAAACATATGAAGTTAATTTAAGATGTGTGTGCTTTTCTTTTTCTTTCTGTATAGGAAGCTTCTCTTTGCTTGTGTGTGCATCAGGAGCACGAGCACAGGGGAAACAATATATATCTATAGTTTCTCGTAGTGAGATGCAGAGGAAGTTCTCGATGGACGGCAGAGAATCCCCTCTCGCTGTCATGGTAGCGGCGGAGGCGCGAGGGGGGGGGGGGGTAATTGTTGTTGCTTCTGTGGAGCTCGGAAAATACGCTACTGTCCTTTTCTAGATTTTCTTTTCTTTTGTTTTCTTTTCTTGTCGTGTTGGTGATGCGGAGGTGTGCATCATTGAGTATTGGGGCACAGCGTATCTTGTGTCTCCTGTTTTGGAAAACAGGCGGGGGCAAAGTATTTGTCGGTGTATCCGTCGATGGTCTTTTCGTTGGTCACTTAAGCGGCGTTTATTTGGGGGAGTGTTTTAGTCACGGTAATTTCTGTTGGAGTATTTCACTACTATTAAAAGTAATTATTAAAAGACGCGAGAGTGAGAGGAGAGGGGTACAACACGCTTCACAACCTTCGGCTCGTGAAAGCGGCGGTAGTGAAGCGTGGATGCTGCCGTGGCTAGTGCGCCTCTTCCTGTGTGTGATAGGCGTTGTCCAGCACGGTGACGTTGCTAGAACTGAAGGGCAGCTGAAGACTCGTTGTTTGCGGCTTTAAACCCACTCTGGTGCTCTTGCAGGAAAACGCAGCGGCCGTGCTTCAGACGCTCGTCGATGGAGCGTTGGTGGACCACGTCCGTGTTCAACGCCGACCTCAGAAAAGGAAGCGTCTTTTTGGTTTGCCTTTTCGACTTGTGGTTGTCTTGTGGAAGAAAAGTCCCTGTTCTTCTTGGTGTACTCGCCCTCTCCCTCTCCGCCCCCGCCCCCCCCCCTCCTCTCTTTCTCTCTCTTTCTCTCGCTGTTTTCTTTTCTCCGCAGCCCATCCACTTGCGCCTGCCCTATACACTCGAAGCAGTCGGCAGTATATAGACCACTTTTGCTGCTTCTCCATGTGCATATATAAAAACGAAAGCCGGCTCCTCACATGCACACGCCCTGTCAGAAACTGCGCTGATGCAGAACTAAAACAACGACTTCGCTTGCTTAACTCGAAGTAAACACACACCGCGAGAGCGAGGAGAGGGAGAATGAATTTGAGCAGCAGCGACGCCCATCGCACTGCTCCTGGCGTTGCGGACTCCGCCCTCGCACTCCTCTCTCACTCCCCAACCCTCCAACGTGACGCTTTTCTGCTCAGCTGGGTCGTCGCAGCGGAGGAGCGCTCGGCGCGTCAGACGTTGCACCTGCGTGAGGCGGAGGAGAGACACGAGAAGGTGGGTGTGTTCTACCATGTGTGTGTTGTACGTCTCGTGTCTGTGCACGCGCCTCCTCCACTGCAAAAATCAGCATCCTCTAATCAGCCCATAGCCACCTCGAAAGAAAGCGAAGAGGCGTGTTTGGCAGTACCCGTGATCAATTGCGGGTCGGCGCATCCCAGTGCGGCGGTGTCTTCACCGCTGGAACGCCTGGCTACGGCGGCCGACGGTGACGAAGACCAGGACGATCACGTCGCCGCACATGATGGTGACGCGGCGGTGGATGACGTGCCATCTGCAAATCCAATCACAGGCTCTTTTATGAAGAGACTGAGCGACGTCGAGCTCGCCTTGGCGAGACAGACGAGACCGCTTTATCCGCTTCCGCTGGTAAGCAACGGACGTGCCGCGGATGCGTTGTTGTCTTCCTGTTCTTTGTCATCTCTATCGTCACCCTCGCACGTCAGCCTTGACACGTGCGTGGCCCTCCTCGACGATCTGGTGGCCTCGCACAGCGCTCTGTCGGAGCTGTCACCCTCTCATCAGGAAAAGCACCCGTACAACGACGTCAGCGAGGAGCAGCTGCTTTCTTTTACTTCTCGTCGGCAACGGGTCCTGTCTGTGTTGGCGCTGCTGCGGGGTGCGCTGCGCAGCGTGCAGGACGCGTACACGTATGCGACAAACGGCGCTGCTGCTGCTTCGTTATCACCATCTTCCCCTGTATCCCTCGATACGCTGCTGCAGCTGCCACCCGACACCTTGCCACTGCTCATGCGTACTGCGAATGGTCCGCCTGCATGGCGCGCGCTGCTGACCACTACTTCGCTCTTCACGCTGTGGCTGACGCTCACGGATAGCGTGGCACTCTTTACGTGCATGCAGAGTCCCGTTGTGGACGCGCTGTGGGCCGCCGTTTTGTGGATGCGCACCTGCGCACTAACACCTGCGGTTCCTGCGGCGGACATCAACGTAGCGGAACGGAAGGAGCGAGTGCAGCACTCTCCTATTCGTAGAAGGACTTCGCTTATGGGGAGAGGTGTGGAAGCAGACGTCAGCGTTTCCCTTCCGGTGAAACCTTCTTTTTCTGTTGACGCAAAGCGACGCCCGTCCAGCGTCTTGTCGCCATCGACGCGGCGCACACGCAGTCCCCGTCGAATCGCTGCTCAGCGGCCTTCCTTACCCGTCGCATCGCGTGCGGTGCAGCGATCTTCCCCGTCGCGTCCTCGACGGCTCCGTTGTACAGACGACGCCTTCGATGAACGTTGGGCCTATCGTGACTTCCCAGTGGAAGAGGCGCGCACGGCACCGACGGTGTACGATGCGCTTTTCCCTCTGCCCAGCGCGACCTCGGTGTTCACCGAGCCTGGCGGCCTTCCATCGAATCGACGTGCAGCGCAACGGGAAGGCGAGACGGTGCCCGAGAGCGGCACGCCTGTGTTACCCAAAGAGGGTTCATCCTGGGAGGGAAAAGAGGATGCCGCATGGCTACGTGGTCCCGGAGTGGACTTCTACACCGGACCCTCACGCCGTCCTCAGCCTCTGTGACAGCGGCTCCGCATCGCCGTGTTTGCCAACAGTCTTCTTCTGACGCTTTTTTCTTTGCTGTTCCTGCCTTTGCCTCGCGTGTGCTTTTGGGGGCTGTGCCCCTTCTGCAACCGATGGCGACCTGTCTTGTCCTTGCGTGCGCGCTACGCAGCAGATGTCGAACACACAATTGAAAGCAACACCTACTCCTGCGTGCGTCTTTTACCGCTTTGCAAGCGTCAGATGTTGGCTGCTCGTCACACTCACACCCACGCAGCAACCGCACGGCGTTCGTCTTTGATGGCGATGGACGCCCTCCGCTCGTGCACCGAGGAGCTGCAGCATTTCTACTGTGCCGTGTAGGGCTTTGAACCGTCTGTACGTACTGCTACTTCCTTTATCTCTCGCTCTCTCTCTCTCTCTCTCTGATATTCGTTGTTGATGTGGTCTGCGCGAATACGTCTCCTCTTCTCACCACATTGGCCTGTTTTGGTTGTTTCGCTGGTTTGTTGGTTGTTTGCTGCAGGAAAGCAAAGGACCATGAGCTGCTGCATTCGACGTCTCAACTCTCCGACGCACTAAGAGACGACGAAGAGCGAACGAAGGAAAGAAGCAAGGAACGCTGCTTCCTCCTGCGATTGAATGGCAGACGATTCGACTCCACAAGGGTCGCCGCGTGCGGCAGGCCCGGAGGCTCTGCGAGCCCCACACCGCTCACCTTTCTACTGCTCCGTCTGCGACGTCCAGTTCTCCGACTCCCACGCCGCGGAGGCGCACAAGGCCAGTCTGAAGCACAAGAAGAAAAGCGGGGAGTTGGAGTGGGAGGCGCGGCAATACAAAAGAGACGCGGATGTCACCCCGAAAGATGTGTGGGCGCTGGTGCGCCGCAAACAAGCGGAGCTGGAGCTATTACCGTGGGGTGAGTTGAAGTGGAGTCCTGCCCCGGATGGCCTCGCTGCGAAACCGTGATGCTCCACCCTGCGCAGCGGGGGTGAGCAAGGGGGCGGTATCGAAGGAGGGGGAAAGCACGCGTCTTGCTGTACACTTTTGTTGTAGAGGTTTTTCGCTTTGGAAGTTGTGGAAAGCCGCGGGTAACGTCGACTTTTGGAGGTTGTGTGTGTGTGTGTGTGTGTGTGTATCGGCTGACTTTGTGCACACGAAACTTGCTAACACTTGTGTTTTTGATTGCTTTAAATATGAAAGATGCAACGCTCTGCGTACTAGGCAAGGTGTCACTTGCAAGCAGTGATACTAGCGACAGCAAAACACAAGAAAAAAAACGCCTGAGGGGAACTCCCTACAAGTGGAAGGTGCGAGACACGCACACGCACCCGCAGAGAGAATGCGCTGACCTACACACCTCCCATCTGTTCTCATCCTCCTGCTCTATAACTGCGTCCTTTTTCACCTTTTTATTTGATTTTTTTCTGCTCTCACCACTGGTGCGTCTCCTCCAGCGACGCCTTTACCGCCTGTGGTTCGGAAGCGAAGAGGAGAGCTCATTTGTATCATCGTGTTAACTTTTCATACGAAAAAGTTTTTCCTCGTTGTTTGTTGTTTTATTATTATTATTATTATTATCGGTTGTTGTGGCTCCTGCGGCCCTCCGCCTCCCTTTCTGCCTTTACTTCTGCATTTGCTTTTTCTTCCTCTCATATTCCTATGTAGCACCTCCCGGAACCAGCCTTCCATCTTGCGCCTCACACGAGTGCCTTGGAATTCTCTGCTGACAAAGCTTTACCTCTCCGGATTATCCCCACGCACCGCAGCACGTATATTCCTTTCGTTTTCTTGGCGCAGTCACCGACGGCGTTAATAAGGGAAAAAAAAAACTTGAACTGCGAGACGTGCGTTCGTGTCTGTGCTCTGCCGTTGTATTTGACGGACCTTCTTTTTTTTTTTGATTTACCGATTTGCTTCGCGAATCGTTTTTTCTTCCGTATTTGATTGTTGCCTGCTCGAGTTTTTTGGGGAAGCCTTTTTTTATCTTTTCCTTTCTTTTCTCTCTCTGTTCGTTTTGGCCTGCATTAGAACGTTGCTGTTTTCTCACCACGCTGTACGAATCTGCTTCCTCTGGTTTGTATATTTATTTTTGTTTTTTCTTTTACTTCTGTTGTTGCCATATCTCTTTCTTTGAGTGATTGAGGTCGTTGCTGTTCCACGCAGAAAGAACGCACTGAGTGTCAACACAACTGCGCGTGAGGGAGCCGCGCTGCTGTCTTTGTGATTGCGCTTCTTCTTGTTGTTGTTTTTAATAGCACTTTGCGTAACAGCCGTAGCTTCACAGCCATGAGCTATCGAGACAATGACGTTTATGTCGACGTGGTAGGCGCCCTCGACAGCATACGAGAAAGCGTCGACGCGTATCTCGGTGTGATGCAGGAAGAAGACGCGCAGGCAGCCAAAGACGGCACCACAAACAGCAGCGGCAACAGCGAACACTCGCTTGTCACGTCGATCATGGCAAACTCCACGTGCAGACTCTATATCAAAAAGAATGGGCCCCTCGTAATGCGACTAGGCGAGACCGTGCAGTCAGCGCTGCGGGACGTGGTCGAGAAGCGGCAGCAACGGCTTTCTGACGCAAGCGCACCACCACAGCAGAGCACGTCGTCGGGTCCGACAACGGAGGCGGTCCGCGGCGAGACCGTACGCGCACTCGTCACGCGTAAGCTCGGGGAATTGATGGAGAACGCACACACGATGCGCCGCGTAGTAAAGCAGCAACAGCAACAGCAGCAGGACCGCTCCCATCGCTTTGGTCAGCCGCTGCGTGCCGCTGTCGACGGCGGTGCCACCGGCAACGATCTGCGCATGAAGCAGCTCCTGCGGGTGATTTCACACGATTTAGAAGACACTAAGCGGTTGCTGGGCATTGCGTATCCTGACAAAGCCTCTCCTCTCTCCCCCTCCTCTTCCCCTGCTCCAGATGGACGCAGCAGCCCTCCTCCTACCTCTCCGAGAAGCAACTACACGCCCGAGCGCGCCGGCCTGCAGGCGTCCGGTGCGTACTCGGCGTCCAGCACGCCTCGTGACTCCGCCAGTACCGCGCCATACGTGCGCCACAGCGTGTCACAGGACATGTCCGGACTGCCACGACAGTCATCGTTCGGGGGGCCGAGCTCCGCCTCGTACGACACCGGCGACGTAACGCACGCCTCTGCGCTCACGGGGGTGACGGAGGACTCCGTCCTGCACAGCGGAGACGCTTCGCGGTCGTCGTCTTCCTCAGAAGCGTCCACCGCGGAGCAGAACGCAGAGCCGTCTGTGCGCTCTCCGTCAGACCACGCAGAGGAAGACGATAGCAGCGGTGTCCACGAGCGCCGTGCAAACCTCCAGTTAAAGGATACGTTGGCGCGCGACAGCCGCCCCCGCGCGAGTGGTCTCACGTCGAACCCGGTCCATGTTCGCCCCAACTCCGGCAACAGTAACAACCACACTTCCGTGAACAACGCGGTGGTGAATGCTGAGCGTCCTTGCAGCAGCGCTACGAGCGGCGTCATGCCACTTACGTTCTTTCGCCGTGGACGCCCTTCTCACCCTGCGGACGCTAGAGGTATTGGAAAGGAGACGGAAGACGCGATAGACGATAAGAAGAGAATGGGCACCGGTGCGGCAGGGGAGTTGGAAGAGTCGGCTGCCTCCTCAGCCACCTTCATGGACGAAGCCGCGGAAACGAAAACGTACGACGAAGCCCTGCAGATCATCGCCACCGCTGAAGTTCCGCGTGGCATTCTCAAGCCGTCCTCCCCGCGTCCCAGCAGTTTCTTGGCCATGACGGAGAGCAGCAGCACTAGCAACGTCGACAGCGCCTCGCAGTCCAGCGGGGGCTCGTCGCCCGGCTCTGGCCGACGCGCCGTGCAGTTTGCACATGACGTGTTGGAGCACACCAGTCCGTGGAAGGAGAGCAGAGGTGACTACAGTAACAGCAACGGCGAAGACGACAGTGGATGTGGAGGAGGGATGAGCAGCGCGCCGCCAGCGGCACAGCCTCAGCAAGCCGCGAACGACACCAGCATCAACAGCATCGGCAGCATCGGCAGCATCGGCAGCATCGGCAGCATCGGCAACGGCAGGCCACGTGGGCTTCCCGCCGGCCTTCCTCCGCGCTCGCCGCGGCCGTCAGATGCGCTGTCGAGCCCGCTGAGTTTCCCTGGTGGACAGCGGCCACCGCTGGCCCCGACGCCCGCCACCTCTCTCACCTCCTACCCGTTACCGGTGCGTAATGTGTGGGTGACGACGACGCACTCGCAGCGCCTTCCTGGTGAGTTGTGGGGCGACATCCTGGGCGCGAACGAGAAGGTCGTGGAGGACGTGCTGCGCGAGGACGTGATTGACCTCTTCAACTACGGTGAAGAGGAGCCGATTCTGCGTCTGGATGACGTGATGGATGTTCACTTCAGCTTTGTGGACGGGCACCTGCACGTTCGCTTCGAACTCGAGCACCAGCGCTCACTGACTGAGTCCGAAATCAACCTGCGGCTCGGTCTCTGCTCCTACCCCTTCATGACAGGGCTTTACGAGGAGTACTTCCAGGAGTTCCAAGCGCAGGAGTTCGACGCCATCGATGAAAGCTCCCCCTCACTGAGCAACCTGACGACGCCCATCAAAGGTAGCACGCGGCTCAGCTCCAGTGCCAGCCCGCCGTCCCACCGCGAAGGCAAGGGCGTCAGCAGTGACGAGACCCGGCTCGCCACAACCTTCTCCCTCTCCCTCCCGACCCAGCGGCCACTAAGCCCCTCCGCACGCGATGACCACGTCCCCCTGCTCTCCCCGCTGTCCATCGCCACGGATGACGACGACTCCCTGACCGCCTCGGTGGTGGGCGGGTCCGCCGCGTCGTTTCCATTTTCCCCACAGAAAGGCAGCGGCGGCGGTGGTGGTGGTGGTGGTGCTGGTGGGGAAAGCGCACCGTCGCCATCGCCGAAACATGCAGCGCCACCGGCAACAGCGGCAGCGGATCCAACCGCCAACGGCGCACCTCCCTCTACCAATGCCGCGACCTCCACCACGTCCAAGCCCTCTCCGCCGGTTGCGGATGTGCCGTCTGGTAAAGACAACAATAACGCCGCCCCACTGTCAACGAGCGTCCCCTCCCCTCTCGCCACAGTTCCACGCAGCGACACGCGCCGCAGCAAAGACGGCGGCCTCAGCACGGCCGCGACGAGCAGCGCACCGTCGTTCGCCGTCGTTGCCCGACAGCGCGACGCGTCGGCGCAGTCGCCGCACACGTCGACCTCTTCCACCGCCTCGACCCCGACCTCTGCCACGAAAGCCCGCTCACACGTGCACACGATTTGCATTGCCGGACAGCACTGGGAGGCGGTGACCAGCTGCGTGACGGAGGGCGACCTCGCCGACGCCTTCGTCGCCGACGTCGCGGCAGCCCTCGGTGTACTGCCGTCGGAGGCCCGCGCCGCCTGTCAGCACATTCGCTTCTACCAGGGCAACCGCCTGGAGGTGAAGTTCCGCTGGAGCGATGCGGAGTTGAGTGCGGGTGCAGCGCCGCGGACGACGACGGCGGCGGTAGTGGACGCGAAGCTGGCCGAGTGCGCGTTTGCGACGCTGCGGCAGCTGTACGCGAATGCGCGCACGGAGCTCCGAGGCGGCGACGACGACGCTGCCGAGGCGAAGAAAGGAAAGAAAGCTGTCAGCGACCTGGAAGAGGGGCACGACGCACCGAGACTTGAAGGTAAGAAGGGGAAGGGCAGCACAGGGGCGCCGAGTCGAAGCTCGCCTTCACCCCCCAACTCCCACGCCACCGCAGCACACGGAAAGAAAGCGATGTCCAGCCCCAAGCGCAACAACGCTGCTACAACCTCCGATAGGGAAAGTGCTGCGAGTGTGCAAGAAGCCTCCGCGCCTCAGGCAGAGACGACGCCCCCCGCTGGCCTGCGCAGACACAACTCCAACACCTCCGCAGAGGCCGAGCCGCGTGCGACAACGCCGCTGCCGACGAAGCCGGCGGTGGCGCCGTCTCACTCGAAGAGCTCCCAACCGCACTCGAGCTCGTCGCCGCGAGAAAAGGCCCAGAGTCGCAGCAAGGACAGCGCGCCGCCTCATTCGCGCTCACCGCTGCGGCGTCGGGGGTCCGCAAAAGACCTCCCGGCAGTTCCCGCACCCGCGAACACATCAGACAGCAACGCCGCCACTACGACGTTGAGCCGTCTCGCTCGGCAGCACAACGTGCCGCTGAAGACGCTGCTGCCATGGAATCCAGCACTGGCGGAGATCGACCCCAACAAGGAAATTCCTACCCCTCACCCTCTTGTGGTGACTCCCCTCACCACAACTCAGGCCACAGAAGCACCGATGACATCCGAGAAGGCGCCACCCAAACCGGAAACCCGAACGTCATCAGACACGCAACCCTCACCAGAGGAGGCAGCAGCAGCAGCAGCAGCAGCGGCATCGACGAGTGCGGAGCCGTCCGTGACTCAGCACCACATGAGTGCACGGCAGCTCCACGAAGGCGGCGCGGTCGCTTCGCTACGCCATCGCCCACGTTTGACGCCGAAAGAAAACAAGACGGAACAGGCCGCCACAGCGCCGCCGCCCTCCTCGTCTTCTTCTTCCCTGTCTCCTTCTGCCACCGCAGCGCCACAACGCCCATCGCCGATCGCGGGGACGCAGCCTTCGACGACCCATCCTATCGACCCGTCCACCGCCGCCGCGGAGAAGTCGGAGGCGCCGCCGAAGCGGACGACGTCGTCCTCCACCGGTAGCTCGAAGCTGCCGCCGCCGCTTTCAGTGGCGGATGTTGAGGCACGCCCCACGCCGCGGCACACGTCCGTCAAGCCGGCTCTCAACCCGAAGCTTCCTGACACGCAACCGACACGTGCAGCAACGACAACGGCGTCAGCAGTGCCCGTACCAGCAGTGGTGTCTGCCACGGCGAACTTATCAGACAGCAAAGACGCAGAACCATCATCGAGGGTGGAAGTGCCTCCTGTGGTGGGTGAAAAGCAAAGCAGCGGCACCGGCGGCACGCAGCCCTCCTCCGTCTCGCGCCTGCGTGAAGCGTCCCCGCGTTCGCCGCAGGCGGCTGGGGCCGCAGCACAGCCCGATCGCAAGGTGTATCACCTGCCTCCAGAGGTCCTGGGGCTTGATCCGATGGTTCTCTCGTACGATAGGACACAGAACACCGCGAAGTCCCTCGCTGTTCCCCGCAGTGCACACCGGCCGTCACCGGATCTTCACGCCGGCCAAGGCCCCGGCCGCGGTGACGCAGAAAGCTCCAGCGCGCCGATCATCGACCGCGAGATCGGCGTACGTCTCAGCGGGCTCACCGTGGAGGGTGTGCGCAAGAAGAGCGTGGCGGCAGAGGCGGGCATCCAAGTGGGCGACACGCTGCGTACTTTGGACGGGCAGATCCTCGCCTCGGTGGGCGACATCCATCGAGGTCTACTGCGACAACAGCAGCAGAACAAAAACGTCGGCGAGCGCACACTCTTCGTGACCGCCGTGAGCGCCCGTGGCACCCCTGCCACTTACCGCCTTCGCTTTCCCCAACCCGACTCGACCGAGAGCAGCAGCGTACGGCGCGGACGCGCAACCGCCGCCGCAGCAGCAGACGCAATGGACACCGCAGTGAAAGCACCGGCAGCAGCATCGGTGACATCCTGCTCGAACGCCACCCCGACTCCACAGCAGACACAACCCCCTTCGCAGCAGCAGCGCAGAGTGGCGCGGCACGTCATAGGAGTCTTACCTGCACGACAAACAGAGGCGGCCGCACCGTCCGGGCCTACGCCGAGTGCGCAGACGCGCTTAACGCCTCGCTCGACCTTGGCGGCGCCGCTGCCACCGCCACCGCCACAGCCGGACATCGTCGCGTCCGCCTTCCCCACAACAAGAAAGCGTGTATGCCCAGTCATGGCCACCTCCGCAGCTCGGACGCGTGTGGGCAGCATCGACCCGGTGAGCCGTCAAACCCGCGCGCAGCGCAGTCATTCGAGTCGACTCCTTCGTGAAACTGCGGCACCGGAGGTGCACCCCACCGCTGGTGGTGCCGCGGTGCCCTTGTCGGCGCGACGGGTGAGTCGCGACAACGGGTCCGCCGCACGCGTGCGTGCTGATCTGAATCAATAAAAGAGAAGAGTGAGAGGAAAGGGAGCAGAACTCCAATGTAGCGGAGAGCTTCTCTTGTGGTGTTTGTTATTTTCATGGTGTGTGTGTGTGTGTGTGTACATGCGTGCGTGTGTTAACGGAGCTTTCCAAAGTGTCTGTAGCAAACAATTCCATGCGCTGCTGTGCCAGCTTTATTACTGTAGCTGTTAGTGTTCCTTACTATACCGTTGCTGCTGTGTCGTGTAACGCTGTGCTGGTCTTTTTTACTTGCTGCTTTTTTGGTTGTTGTCTTTTCTTTATTAGAGGGCGTGCATGGGCAGTCATCATGCATGCGTTTCTGTTCTCTCCTTTTTTTTTCCTTTCTGTGTGGTGAAGCGACTGCCCGTTTGGGTGCGGCGATGGAAGGACTTGATTAAACGACGGCGGAAGCGTTTCAGTTTCTGGGGAGGAATGGGGAGAGAGAGGGGGGTACAACAAGGCTCGCTTTGTTGTTGTTGTTGTTTTCCGTTTTCCTTAGGAGAGGTACATCCTGAGGGAAACAGCGCGTTCGCGTGTTGACTGGAACCATCCCGACTCCTTCTCCTTCTCGCTCTTTCGTTGTTGTTGTTGTTGTTTTCTCTTGTAGAAGTATCCTTTTCTTCTACCGCACCTCACTGCGGACTTTAAAGGGGTGTTTGACAAGAAGAAAAACAGATGAGCTGCTCAGCGTGGTTTGTCCGTCTCCACTCAGCAAGGAGCAATGCATCTTCGCTGCTTGAAAGAGAAAGGAAAAGAAAAAGAGCGCTGGAGAGCACTTGCACCTGTGTGTGTCCCTTCTGGAAGTATCTTTTGTGATTTGGATAGACGAAGTGGGTCAAATGCTCGCCTCCTGTCTCGTTGTTTCGCATTTTCTCCTCTGCTCTTATTGTCTTTTTTTTTCTTCTGGAGTGTTATCTCTCCTCACACTCCCCGGCCGCAAGTGAGTTTGCCGAGCAGAACTGCAGCAGCGTAGTACTGCGGGTCTCTCCTTTAAGCCTTGTTGTTGGTGTTTCCGCGCGCTGCGTGTGTGTGTGTGTGCATCTCCTCACTTTTTTTGCTTGGTGCGCCCCCCGCATTACTTCCTTTACTTTGAAGCCTCTGTGCACGAGTCACACCGTTGCCGGCAACAGATATCGCCCTTTTGTATTTGTGATTGGTATTACCCCCCACATAGCTCCTTCACCATGCCGGCCATTGGACAGGAGAAGTTAGAGGTTCACAAGTGCTTTAGCATCCTGCGCACCTCCGCGGAGATGATGTCAGACAGAAAGTACAAGGTGGCCCAAAACGTCGTTCCAAGCTCGCTGGACGAGTTCATCGAGCGCTACGTCGAGACGGTGAGCGTCTCAGAGGATACGGCTGCAGCTGCTTCTGCCGACCCCGCAGCCACCGTCACGCGCCGCGATAAGAGGGTGATCCGTCGCGACAAGATGACGCTGGCGTGCGAGCGGGAGGTGGGCGAGGGCAGTGTGCTGAAGGCGGTCATCTACTTTTGCCCGCCAAACCACCTGTCGTCGGAGGTGGTGAAGAAGATTGCGGAGGACGCGTTGAATGAAAGCTACCAGCGCGTTATCTTTGTCAGCCCGTCAAAGCCGAACCCGATTGTGCGGAAGACGATGGACACGTACAACCGCAGCGAACAGGACCTGCGCTTTGAGCTGTTTGAGGAAGACGAGCTCTCCGTGAACATCACGCATCACGAGCTCGTGCCGAAGCACACGCCGCTCTCCGAGGAGGAGTTGAAGGAGGTCTTGCACGCCCATGCACTCGAGTTGGTGCAGCTGCCACGCATCTTGTCGACGGACCCTGTAGCGCGCTACTACGGCCTGGAGCGTGGCCAGGTTGTTCGCATCGAGCGCAAGAGTATGTCCGCCGGTCTCTACGCGACCTACAGGCAAGTTGTGTAAGCAGCTTTATTGGAGAACTGCGTACTTGCTCTTTTTTTTTACTTGATGTTTGATGCCTCAGGTTTGCGTTTAAGACGGTGCTGTTGCGTGGTGTGTGTTGAGGTGTTCTTGAGAGTATTGGTCCTTCGGCAGGGCCGCATAAAAGCTTATTAAAATTCACTCAAACAGTAAAAAAGAAAAGGAAAGGTGCAGTGAACATCGTTTGAAGATTTCTTCTGTACTTGCTTGTTGTTTTAGTTGTGTGTGCAGGCGACTCTGTCGCTCCACGGCGGCGTCTGTTTCCAAGCGTGACGTCAAGCCGACCCCAAAATAAAGAGATGGGCAGGTTGGTTTTTGCAAGGTGCAGATTCTGTAAACGTGGAGAAGAGCGGTCAAGCTCCGTAGAGACGTTCCGATCTATCTACTGACTTCCGTGAACTCCTTTTTGGTTTCCTTTCTCTCTTCCCTTGTGAGGGCAACATCGCGTCGGCCGGAAAACGCACGCCCCCTCCCCCTACATGTAAACGCTACGGGCATTTCTCTGAGTTCTCTCTCTCTGTTTCCGCCTTCCGTCTTCTCAGCGATTCATTTCCCCCAGCAAGGAAAAAGTGTATTTCCTCCGTGACGCCACGCCCACGCGCGCACAACACACGAAAGCATGGCCTCCATGGAAGAGCTGAAGGTGGTGCGCGTGTTCCGGGCGCTAAACACGATGATTCAGCTGTGCCGCGACCGCGGCTACATCATTCGTCACCCGTCCGCCATCGCCGAGGCAGTGCAAGACCCCGCGCTGTACGACCCCGAAGAGGGTCTCGACTACGATTGGTTTCTGCATCACTTCGTCGTGACGCCCGAGCGCGCCGACAGCATGCGGGCAAAGAAGAACAGCAGCAGCAGCGGCAGCGGCGGCGGCAGCGGCGCGGAGAACAAGAAGCGCCGGATAGTCAAGGAGGAGCAGGACGAAGCGGAAGGCACCGATCTCACCGAGGAAGCGGAGATCCTGCGACGGGCGGCAAACGGGGAGTGGATCTGCATGCGTAATGCGATGCGTCTGTCGTGCTCCCTCGCTCCGGGAGGGGCGGGCAGCGTCCCCGCCCCAGGGGTGACGAAGGTGCCGCTGACCACCGCCGCATCCGTGGTGAAGAAGGAAAAGGAAGAGGATGACGGGGCAATGACGGCGGCTGAGGCGGCGAAGGCGGCCAAGAACGCCCTGATGGTCTTCTTCTCGGGTGAGTCGAAGCTGACGATGAAAGAGGTGCAGGCGTGCCGTGAGAAGGCGATGAAGAAGAAGGCTTCGTCGATTATCATGGTGGTGAACAGGGTCGAGCCTGGTGTGCGCCTGGATGTGCAGGAGCTGAGCGGGCGCATGGACGAGCTCACCGGCGAGGCTCTCTTGACAATTCAAATCTTTGAGGAAGAGGCACTCGCGTTTAACGTCGTGCGTCACGAGACCGTGCCACACCACGCCGCTCTCAGCGAAGCAGACGCACAGGCTTTTTTGGATGCACACAAGCTGAACATTTCGCAGCTGCCGCGGATGCTGGAGAGCGACCCGCTTGTGCAATACCTAGGTCTGCAGCGCGGCAGCGTTGTGCACATCACTCGGGAAGGCAAGCAAGGTAGGCCCTACAGCATGTACCGGCACGTGATTTAGTCCTGTGAGGCTCCTTTGATGTGGTATGCGTGGTGGTACAACGATCCTCCCCGGGTTGGCACGGCGTGCCTTCCCTTGCACAGCGTGCGCTTCCCTTGTGCCCGCCAGCAGCTGTGCGGTGGTAATTGCTGATGTTTTTCTTTTTGTTTATTCTTATTATTCTGCACGTAATAATAAATACAAGCACGAGTGCTTCTATGAGTGCTTCCTGTTGTGGCGCTCACACCTCGTTCTTCCTAAGATGAAGCGTTTAAACCTAACAAAACCAGTTAAACCTTGTGAAGGCGAAGAGGTGAACCGTGCACCTTCGGGTCAAGTCTCCGATCCAGCACAGAACCTGCTGAGACAGAAACGATGCGAGAGCTTGCCCTCAGCCCTTTTCTTTTTTCTTGTTCTATGTTTCGTTGTTGTTGCACGACGCGAACATTCGGATGAGAGTCGGTGATGATTATCCTCTACGGGAAGGACAAAAAAAACTGTGCCGGTGCGGCCCGTCCAGTGAGCGCTCCAAAAGCTTCGCTTATCGAAACGGCTACAGTGTGAGAGAAATACGTGGCGGCATAGGTCTTTGTTCCACCGAGCTCCCTTCCCTCGGTTTTCTTCTCCCCCTTCCCCCTTGGCGTTGCTCGTTTATTCACATCTTCGTTTCTCCTTCCTCATCCTCACCCTTTTGTAACGTTAAAATCAGTAAGTCTTTCTCTTTTCTAGTGGTGCGATATGCTGTTTTGCAGTGCCAGGCAGCTCGCCCGTGTGTACGGCGGCGGGGCCACCTCCTCCTTCGTACCAGGCAGTAGCAGTGTCGCCTCTGTCGCCGCGGCTGCCAACCCCGTCCACCCAACCGGCCGTCCCATCGGTGCGAAGGCCCTCTTGGGTCGCAAAGCACGTCAAGGCAGCCTCTTCGCCATCGCAAACGACGTCAGCCTGAACGAGAAGCGCATACGACAGCAGCTCAATGCGTTGCTTGCGGATGAGCGCGACCCCTTTGCGGCTGGACGCACGCAGCGCCACGCCACCTACGCCGGTCACGAGGCCCCGCGTCCGTTTCCGCAGCGCCGGCTGGTGCAACTGCCCGGTGTGGAGCGGGTCCGCGATCTTCCTGCTGACCCGATCACGCGTCTCTTCTTTCAGCACCAGGGCGACCACGCGCTCTACTACGGCACCTACGACCGACCGAGCCAGCAAGATGAGGACCGCGTGCAGCTGGAGAAGCGGGAGCCGAAGGAGTGGACGTTTAACGTGTTCACCCCCGTCTACGACTTCTGTCACCGCCTGCGCGAGGCGTCAGAGCAGCGGAAGCGCTTTGTGGTGGTGCCGTCGACAATAGAGACGCGCGGGTGTGCGCAGGTGATGTTCGACCACGGCCTCGTCGCGGGCTTTCGCGACTTCCACAACGACCGCGCCTTTGCGGTGGAGTTGAAGTACTTCCAGAACGAGCCAACGATCAATGTAATTGAGCCGTGCAGCTACGACGGCAAGACGGAGTTTGAGTGGTCGCCGAAGATGATGCGTCGCCTGATGAACTCGCACGGCATTCACAACCGTCTCGTCATTTATATTTGCCGCACAGCGGACAATAGGATCATTGATCACATCCAGGCCGTGAAGGAGTGCGTTGGTGGGCGTGGTTTGATGATGGTGCACTAACAAAAGACAAAGGGTGGGAAAGCGATGTTCAAAGGTAGCTGTCCGCTGTTGTTTTTTCATTTATTTGCCTTTAACGTCGGTGACACGTGTTTTCTCTCTTTTTCTTTGCTTTTGCTCTTCACAGCTGTGGCGGCGGGGGGGGGGGGGGGTCGGTGTCTCTCTTGGCGCTGAGCGGGCGTGTGTGGAGCGGTGCGCCTTCTTTTTTGTTGTTGTCGTTGTTGACGCGGAATGAACTGTCGCTGTTCGCCACGTTTCGCATTAGAATCCCAAGCGGAAAGAAAAATCGTGTTGCGCAGCAGCAACCACACACACACACACACGAAAACAAGGAGAAGACCCGTGCTCATCTTCCCGCTAGGTGACAACATTTTGAAAACTAACACCGCAGCTAAAAGAAGATGACATCGTTCATCTCCTTGCTGCTACTGGTAATGCACTCGCAAAGTTCAATGCAAAGGAAAAAAAAACGCGTCCAGGCGATCCAACTTCTCTCTCACAGCATAATGTTCCATCTTCTTCTGTGCGTGTGTCTTGATCTCTATCGATCTCTCTCTTGAAATATATGTCGATGTCGATGTTGATGGCTACATCCTTCCAAAAAAAAAGTTATCTGTTGTTTTTTTGTTCTCCTATTTTAAACTCTTGTCAGCTGTTGCTACTGCGACGCATACTAAACAGATTTTATCTAAGCAGTGTACGCACTAATACTATCCATTTTATTTTTAAGAAGCGGAAGCACGCGAGGTGTTTTCCTCTTGTGCCTTCTCCTTCGTTCTCTTCATTCACTCACTTAGCACGAAGACGGTTCGCTTCCGCTCCTCCTTTCTATGCGTCGCCGAATTCTACTTTCCTTTTCTCTCTTGTCCTCTTCTTTCTTAATCGCGAAGAGGAGCGTTTAAACATGCGAGTCTTCGTTGTGCTGAACTAATCGAATGAAGTCCTTTCTGTGATCTCTTTTTGGATTAAACTATTTCTTGTTTTTTCTCTCTATTTCCCTCTCCATTTTCAGCAATCAAAATACTTCTACTTATCTTTGTAGTCATCTATCGCTGAGGAGGACGACATGCAGTGGCTTTACTCGCCCATCGCGCCGCCCGGCACCCCGAGCGTGTCGGCAGAGCCAAGCATTCTGGCCGAGCACCTCTACTTCCCCTTTTACGATTACATCGTGAAGTTCTTCCCCAAGTGGTGGATCCCGAATAAAGTCACCATCGCCGGCATCCTCTCCACCGTCGCGGCCTCGCTGCTGATGCTGAGCTCCATGCCGCCGGGGTCGAAGTTTCAGCCGGGGAGGGCGGTTGTGCTGCCCGCCTCCCTCGTGGTGGAGGACCCGTCCGTGCCGTGTGTACCACCGCTGGATCCTACGCAGATGCAGCCCGTCTTCAGCTTCCTCACGCCCGCCTCGCTGCTGACCCTGTGCGGGTTACTCAACCTGCTGTACTGCGTCGCCGACAACACCGATGGCCGGCTGGCACGTCGCGACAGGAAAACGAGCGTCATTGGCGAGTACCTTGACCACGGCCTGGACTGTGTGACGTCGCTGCTGTCGACCAGCTGCGCCTTTGCGCTGCTCTCGTCGCTGACGAACATGACGACCTCCGTCTGCCTCATCGCGTTCGTTACTGTCCTGTCGCACACGCTGCACTACGAGGCAAATATTTTTATCTGGGGCAACCGCATCGCCACGGTGGATGAGGCGATGATCTTCTTCGGCGTGGGGATGTGGATTCCTCTTGTTTTCCCCTCCGTCGGCACGGCGGTGGTGCCGGTGGAGTACCTGACGGCCATCTTTGGTGCGGGGAGCCACTGGGTCGCCTACCTGCGTCCTCTACGCCTCATTGATCTGGTGTACATCTTCTACAGCCTGGCGCAGGCGCAGACCATCGCGAGCGTGGCGGCGCGGCGGCTGCGTATGCTGTGCCGCATTCATGTCATCTTCAGTGTTCTGAACAGCGTCGTTTTTCTCGCGTTGATGGGCGAGCACACCACATTCCTGGAGAGCTTGCCGGAGACCCAGACATCCGTGTTTGGGTATACCCTGGGGCCTTTCACGTACCCCGCCGTGTGGGCCATCGCGTACGCCTGCACCGCCAGCACGATTATTCACATCCCGATCATGGCCAAGTGTGCGCGCCTCCCCCAGCCAGACCCGCTGCCGCTGGTGGGCGTGATGCTGGTGTGGTGTCTCTTTGTTTCCTATCCAGTCGCCGGCGTGATCGCGGCGGCGGTGGTGCACGTGGGGCAGCTGCTGATCAACGTGCAGCTTATTGAGTACAACGCCTCCCTTGCGAAAGACAGTGAAGCGCAGAGCTCCCTCAAAGCAGCGTCAAGGAAATAAAAAATGATGAAGCGACTTAGCTGCGCGTGCGCCAAACGGAGGAAAGGAAATCTGAAGCGTAGCACCCCTATGTATTTGGCGTAACCTGAAACGGTGTCTCTCTCCTTGCTAGAAGTTGTGTTGTAAGACGTTTTTTGTGGTTGGACGGCGCTCTCACCATGGCCAAAGCCGGCACTCGATGCTTACAATCGATTGTTTGCGGAGGCTGCTGGTCGGGGCTGTGAGGGGGGGGAGGGGGGCGAGGAGTCGTTGTGAGGCAGCGTTGTTGAGTGGCGCGAGAACGGACTTGATGTTGTTTTCTTTTCTTAACTGAAGAAAGCGTGTCGAACTGGGCGTGTTTAGCTGCCGTTCTCTTTTTTTTCCTAAAGCATGTACTCCTTTTCTGTTGTTCTTGTTGTTCTGGCGCGGCTTCCAGTGCCCGCTAGCATTTTTAAAGCTTTTGTAACGACAAAATGTTGTTTTGACAACCGCGTTTTTTCTTCTTCAATCTACAAAAAAAAAAAAAAAATAACAAAAGAAACGTGGGTTTTCTCGATCCACTGATGCAGATGGCCCTTCGACTTCTTCTGTGAGAAGGTTGTCTCGTCTCGCGTGACGTGGAACTCCTTGTTCTATTCGACTTCCATGTTGTCTCTCAACACTTCTCGGTACATATGGAAAAGTGATGGTGCTTTTCCATTTTCTTTTTTTCCCCATCCCACAATGTTCTTTTGCCTCCTCTTTCTTCTTCACTTCATCATCTTCGTTCGCATTACTCTCCTCTAATTTCTTCTCCCCGAATGTACCTGCTACAACAGCCGCAGCAGTAGTAATGATAACAACAAAAAGCCGTCTCCTTTATTTAATTTGTAGTTGAAAGCTAACGGAAGCACTCTCATCGCAGCTGCACGTGTGACCACCGACGGGGCAGCTCTGTTGTTGGTATCTTCTTCGTTTTTTGATTTCTTTTTTTTTAACTTTATTTCGCGCCCTCCTCGCCGGTCTGTCTGTCTGTGTGTGTTTGCAGAGCAGCAGCTGCAGGCAACATCACAACGTGTGCGCGTCGTGTGTCCTGGCACCTCGTATCGTGAGGTACGGAATCGCAGCGCAGCGGCAGCGACTACCAACACTTATTTTTTCCTTTTTCCTTCCCGTTTCTTCCTTTGCGTTTCTGCGACTGTGTGAAGGCCTTTTCGTTGCAGTGTTTGTTTACGTTCATTCGCTCAGCGCTACCCGTCGAAGAACAAAAGAGGCACTTGCTGTTGTACGAACACACACACAGCCCTACAAACCGAAAAGAGAAAGAAAATGGATCTTTCACAGGTCGCACACGCGCTTCAGCGCGCCTCGACGGTGCCGACGGCGGTTGAAGTTCTCCTCCACTTCAACAACCCCCTCTCCGAGAAGGAGGCCACCCAACTGCGCGAGTTCCGCCAGCTGCAGCGGGAGCAGCTGGAAGGCGGCCTGAAAGTGGAGGAGCCCTCGGCCGAGGTTATCGCCCTCGCACACCGACCCATCAAAGGCTTCCACCCCCTGCAGGTGATCCAGTGTGTGCTGAGCGCCACCCGCCTCCCCGCTGTGCAGCCCGGCCACCACGGTCGGCTGCGCAAAGAGGTGCTTCCGCGTGTGGCTGCGCTAACGCCGCTGTCGTTTGTGGAGTGGTGCACCGCCGTGAGTGCGGTGGGGAGTGTGTGCCTCCAGTATTTCGACAGCACCCCAGCCTCGCTCCTCTGTGCGGAGGAGGTACTGCGGCTGGCGGCGCCTGTTATCTTCAATATCTCGCCTGCGTCGGCGCCATCAGCTAAGGGGGCCTCGGCGTGGCGCAAGCCTGGTCTGGTGGTCCAGCCCCGCAAGGACTCGGCAACGCCGAAGCTGAAGGAGTACTCGCCCGAGGAAGGCATGCAATTGTACCTCAAGACGCTTGCCGTACTCGTGCAGCGCTGCGCCGCCTTCCACGCACAGGGCAAGAAGCACAGTCTCAAGGATCAGCCGGTGAAGGATGAGTGCTTCTTCTACTCCGCCGCCGTGCGCCATCTGCGTCGGCTCATGCAGGCCACGGCGGGTCGCCGAATGGAGGCGGTGCGCACGGCGGTGAAAGGTCTCTCCCCGGTGGATCTGCTCTCCCTCACGCCGGTGTTTCAAGGAGAGAACATGCAGCTGGGTGTCACCAAGGACCAGATCAGCAGCGCCGTGAAGGCACGTCCCCTCACCGTTTTCCAGGTGTTCGGCGCACGCCGCCCCGTCGCCGGCACGCTGAAGCTGGAGAATGCGGACGTCGCACTGCAGTCGGTGCTGTACAACATGGGTCTGACGAGCACGACCCGCGATGCGTTTCTGGACTACGTTAACGTGCTCGCCTCGGCCCCGACGGCGCAGGTCGCCGCGTACGTGGCCGCCAAAGGCAAGGACGCCCTTACGCAGCTTATTACACCATTTACCGTCAACGCGGACGCCCTCGCACCGGTGGTCGACACCGTCGGCCCGATCTACGCGAAGCTGTTCCAGCAGCTGCACGTCGCGCAGTCGGCGACGCTACTCACCGTACTGCTGCAGACAGTTGTGTTCGCCGTTGGCACCCGCTGCCGCACGCCGCGTGAAAAGGAGGTGGCGATGCGGCTGCTGTGCGATATGGTGGTGGCCCTGCCGGCAGAGGCCACGGCCCACGTGGAGCCCACCGCGGACCTCGTGACAACGCTCAGTCGCGAGGTGGCCATGCCGGCGGTGGAGTCCGCCGCTCAGGCCTTCCGCCTCGCCGCAGCCCTGCATCTGGAGGCGTCACTCGAGGACGGCTTGGCAGAGGCGCTGAAGAACAGCCGGCGAGAGGAGGCGATCCGGCGGGCGCTGCTTGTGCACGTGGATGCCCACCGCACGCCGTCCGCCGTGGTGGACGGGCTCATCACGGAGTTGCTGAAGGACTGCGAGGAGGTCGTCGTGGCCCGTCCCGATGCGTACCTGTCGCTCCCCTTCTCTCTCGCACGCGGTGACCACGCCACCGTGGCGAAGCTCTGCCCGCTGCTCAGCACCGCCGAGGTGCTCCGTCAGCTAGAGGGCAGCGTTTACGAGAAGACCCGTGCGGCACAGGTCGCCATCGAACTTGCGAACAACGGCTATGGGGCGCCTCTCGTGCAGCTGCTCACCAGCGACCACGGCCTCGTGCGCCGCCCACTGTTGGCCTACGTGAAGTCTGTCGCCAACGACGCCTCTCGTGTGACGATGCTGTGGAACAGCATGGTGCAGTGCGTCTTTGGGCTGGAGGCGCCAACGCAACCGGCGATCGTTGGCTCAACAGCCGCGCCGGCGCTGGTGGCCCTCGGCACCGTCCTGTTGCAGCACACGTCGCGGCTGTCTGTCCCGTTCGCGCTCAGTGAGCTGCTCATGTGTGCCGGGCACGACAACGTGCAGGGCGAGGATCCGTACTTCTACAAAGCCTCCAGCTGCCTGCTCCGCCGCTACCGTCAGGGCAGTCTTACAGTGCTGGAGCGGCCGCTGCGGCAGGTATTGGCCTCTGGCGAGGGGCAAGAGGGCCTGCTGTCACTGCACGCGAAGGCGATGGCGCGCACGATGCTCGCGGCGCTACACAAGACGGTGGAGCACGTCTCCATCGCGGCCGCACGCGGCTTTGTGCTGTTGCTGACGCAGACCACGCCGGTTGCGTCGCGTGAGGTTTACCTGGCGCTGGCGGAGGCCGTGGCGACGTCGAAGGAGTGGTTTCTCACCCTGTCGCCCGAGGACGTTGCCATTGCGGCGGAGGACGTGGACGTGATGGACGCGTACGAGACGGCCTCCCTGCGCGAGCAGCAGCTGCTGAAGACCTACCCAGACCGCCCCCCGAAGGGCGTCTCGGAGGACGACTTCCACGACATGAAGAAGAAGGACGGCATTGCGCTGGCGAAGGGTCGCGAGGTGCTGCGTACGGGCGTGGAGAAGCGGACCAAGGTCCTCATCCCTGCGGTGCATCAGCACAAGGCGGCCTACTTCACGCTGCGGCTGCTCGGCACACACGGCCACTTCGACCTCGAGGCGCTGCCCATCTTCTTCGGCCCGCTGCAGGCCACCGTGACGGAGCTGCAGACGCAGGAGAAGCCGACGCACGTCTTGGCGGTGCTGGCGACGGACGCGCTCGCAGGGCTGCTGACGCACACCGCGTTTGGCTTCATGGCGGAGAACGTTGTCCGTATCGTGGCGCGGCTCACCCCGCTGAAGACGCTCGCCGTGGAGGATGTGTCGCAGCTGTCCGTCATGGCCCATGCCCTCCGCCAGTCCCTTACGCAGATGCTGCCCGCGCCCCTCTCCGTGGTGCTGACGTCCTTCGCCAGCGCCGCCTTCAAGGCAGGGCGAGGCGCCAACGCCGTCTCCACGACGATCCCGGTGGCCACGCAGCACCAGGTGCTCGGCATGCTCATGCAGAACATCGGTCAGCCCAACCTGCCTAACCCCACCGCGACGATGGAGCTGCTCACCACGATCCTGCAGAGCTTCCCTGCTCTGTACAAGAGCCTCCAGCAAGGCTTCTACACGCTCATGGCGATGGTGCCGAGCGACCGGCTGCCGGCCGTGGAGACAGGGCTGTTCAACACGGTGGACTCCGTGCGAGAGGTGACCGCGGCGGCGTACAGCCGGTTTGCGCACTTCGAAACGTGCCGCCGTGCTCTCGTGCTCGCCGAGACGCTGCGGGACGACCCGTCTACAAACATCGCCAAGGCGATGCGCGGCGTCCTCGACGCTGCTGCCGAGAAGTACAACTTTGCGCTGCGGCCCTCCGACTGGGATGACTTGGTGTACTTCCTCCGTACCTACGGCGACCGCAGCGAGGCCAACGCGCTGCGCGTGACGGAGACGATGCGGCAGCTCTTTGCCCGCCGTCCCGGCACCGACGAGGGGGATCAGATGCAGTGGGTGGAGGAGCTCAAGACCGTTGGCGGGGCGCCGTCCGTGATCGCGCTGGAGGGGCTCTCCTCCACCTACCTCGGCCGTGTGCCGGCGGTGGTGATGGACTACCTGTGCCAACTGCTGGAGAACCCGCAGACAGGTGAGACGCTGCTGCGCCAGACACTGAAGGCCGGTCGCGTCGTGCTGGAGGACGCAGACCTGACACTGTTGAAGAGCATCTCACCAGAGCTGCAGACGCGCCTGGCGAAGCCGCCCAAGGACGTGACACAGGCGCACAAGGAGCAGTACCTCGCGACGGCCACCGTGTGGCTGACCATAATGAGCTGCCGCCTGCAGGAGACTGCGCTGCTGGAGGCCATCATCGACCAGCAAAGCCGCACCCTCAACAACTCCCAGTCCGCCATGGTGCACCGCTGCGTGTGTGAGTCGATGGCCGACATCAGCCGCAACCCGCACATCCGCGCCTCGCCCAAGCTGGACGACTTCGTGGAGAAGTGCCTGAAGCAGTGCATCCACTCCGGCTCCTACATCAAGAAGAAGGCGCACGCGTGGGGCCTCGTCGGTGTCATCAAAGGGCTTGGACTCACCTCGATGCAGCGCTACAACGTCATGGGCATTCTGCGCAAGTCGGCGCAGGGGAAGCAGGTGGAGCGATCGGGTGTGATGGTGCTGCTGGAGGTGCTGTGCAGCGAAATGGCCACCCTTTTTGAGCCCTACGCGCTGTCCATGGCGACGGAGCTGCTGGAGGCCGTGGCAGATCCCGATCCGAACGTGTCGGAGTGCGCCGATGACGCGGCGAAGGAGCTGATGGCGAAGCTGTCCGGCGTTGGTCTGCGTCAGCTCATCCCGCGCCTCGTGGAGGGTCTCGCCTCCGACTCTGCGAAGAAGCGCGTGCCGCCGCTGAACTTCATTGGCTACGTCGCCTTCTGCTCCCCGAAGCAGCTCGCCGCGGCGCTGCCGGAGATAATGAAGCACATCCGCGGCTGCCTCTTCGACGTGAACAACGCCGTCTCGGTCGCCGCCTCCAACGCGCTGCGCCGCGTTGCCGGTGTCGTGTCAAACCCCGAAATTCAGGAGCATGTGGAGCTCATCCTCAACGCCATGCGCTCGCCTAGCGCGGAAACGGAGTCGGCGCTCGACGCGCTGCTCTACACGCGCTTCATCAACATGGTCGACCCCGCCTCCCTCGCCCTCATCATTCCGGTTCTCTCCCGCGGTCTCGCGGCGCAGGTGTCGCACACACGACCAAAGGCGGCGCAGATCGTGGCGGCCATGGTGAACCTTGTCAACGACCCACGCGCGCTGCTGCCCTACACCGACGAGCTCGTGCGTCTGCTCGAGGACGCCTCGCAGGACCCATCGACGGAGGCGCGCACGACGGCGGCCAAGGCGGCTGCCGCCCTCGCCTCCGCCATTGGGGGCAACCTGATCGATGAGATCTGCCAGTGGGCCTTTGGCGTGCTGCAGCGCGTGCAGTCCGGCACCATTGAGAAGGCGGGTGCGGCGCAGGTCTTTGTCGAGGTGGTGAACGCGTGCGGTGCGAATCTGCTGCAGTTGTACTTCCCCATCATCGAGAGTGGCATGACCGACGAGCGCCCGCCGGTGCGAGAGGGGTTTCTCTACATCATGGTGTATGCCCCGTCCACCTTGTCCACCGAGTCCTTCCAGGACTTCCTTCCGATCGGTCTCCCATGGGTGCTGGAGGGCCTGTCACACTTCTCCGACAAGGTCCGTGACGTGTCGCTCGCCGCCGGCGACAGCATTGTCTCCCTCTACGGCACCCGCAACCTCGAGCTCGTCCTCGGCCCCCTGCTGGACGGCGTGACAAGCGAGGTGACCACACTGCGGCAGAGCTCGCTGCAGCTGTCGGCAAAGCTCATGCTGCACCTTGTCGCACACATCAAGAAGAAGATGCGCATCCAGATGGCCATGGCAGACGCCGATGCCGAGACACGCGCGGAGCTGGCCAACATGGTCGAGGGCGAGGGCGAGGAAGGCGGTGCGAGTCCCTCTGGCAACTCGGCCGCCGATGACGGCGACGATGGCGCGGTGCTGACGATGGAAGCGGCCCGCGATGTCGAGAAGCGCGGCGTGTCCATTCTGGGCTCCTTGGAGGAGATGCTCGGCACCGACAACCTCGTCCGCATGCTCGCCGCCCTCTTTTGCGGCCGCCACGAGCACAACGCGACCGTGCGCACCGATGCGAACATGGCGTGGCAGGCGTGCGTGGCAAGCATCCGCGCGGCCGTCAACAAAATCTTCGACGGCCTCGCCGTGCTGCTCGTGCGCTTCGCCTCGTCCGACAACCCGGACTGCGTTGAGATCGCCGAGAAGACGATCGAGTTCACGACGCGCATGAACGAGACGATTGAGCGCTTTGTGGACTCCTTCTGCAACATGTACAAGAGTGAGAACCGCCGCCTCAAGCTCGGCTCCCTCGTGTGCCTCGGCACTGTTGTCCAGTTCGCTGATCCCCGTCGGCTGGTCAGCATGGGCGGTCAAATCGTGGGCTGCGTGCTGCCGGGCATGCAGGAGCATGATGCGGTACAGGACGCCGCGCGTGAGGTCTTCGCGCGGGTGTCGAAGCTGGTGGGGCCGCGACTGATCGAGAGTGCCGTGGAGGCGCAGCTCACGACTAGCGTGCGGGGTGTGGTGGAGGTGGTGAAGGTGAAGCCCGGCATGGCGCTCGCCCTCGTCTTCAAGCACTTGAACGCGCTCATGACGCACACGAACCAAAACGTCGAGCTGCTCGACGCGGTTCTCGACGTGGAGGAGGCGGAAGACGAGCTGCGGCGCTACAGCGAGGACATGGTGCGTCTACTGCTGCAGTTCTGCGTGGAGGACTTGGATGACGCGCAGGAGCTGGTGACGAAGTACGTCGAGATGACGCCGCGCGAGTTTGAGGCGATGCCGATTGAGGCCTTCAATAAGGCCATGAACGTCCCGTCGCGCCGCCACGGTGCGCTCATGATGGCGACGGCGTATGGACTCGGCACGGACCTCGACAACGTGGAGGGCATCGCGGCGGTGTTCCGCGCCTTCATCGATGCCCTCGGCGACCACAGCGACCAGACCCGCGGGCTGGCCGTGCAGTCCATCTCCGACCTCCTCAACTCCCTGGAGGAGCGCGTGCTGGAGACCCTGGACGAGGAGGAGCGCCAGGATGTGATGACGAGCAAGCGTGCGGCGGGTCGCTACCTGCTGCAGTACCTTCACGTCTTCCAGACCACCTTGGCGGTCACTGCCCGTGCCTTCAGCGGCAGCAGCAGCAGTCCCGAGTTCGCGGTGCTCGGCGAGGGGGAACCGCGTCTCTTTGACGTCCTCATGACCTTTTACAACCGCGGCCTCGACTACGGTGCGCCGCAGCAGAAGGTGGAGGCGGTGGAGTGCATCCAGGATCTCATGCAATTCGCACCTCGCACGATCAGCGCGGCAGCGGCGAACACGGTGGCCGGCCGCTGCTCCAAGGTGTTGTTCACGCGCAACGAGGGGGCGGTGGTGCTCGTGCTGGTGCGGCTGTGCCTGCAGCTGATGAACTACCCAGCGAGTGGGAAGGAAAAGATGGTGGAGGGCACGATGGCGCTGGCCATGTTCAACGCAGCCCTCTGCGACTCCGGCGAAGCTCGCGTGCTGGCACTGCGGGTGGTGATGCAGCTGCTCACGCGCTCCGAGAAGTACGCCGACTTAATTCTTGGTACGGTGGTCACGAAGAAGACGGCGGTAGACTCGACGCTGCTGCGGACGGTGATGTGCCGCTTCATCAGCGTCGTGCTGCGCTACGCCCACTTCACAAAGAAGTTCCCGCACATTACGAAGCTGATGGACATGGTGCGGCCCATGTGGGAGGCCCCAGAGTCGCCTGCGCTGGCGGCGGCGGCGGGTGTGGCCGTCGGTGCCCTCTGCATGTCCGAGAGCATCCCGGATGAGGTGGTAGGCGATATCAAGGAGCGGGCGCTGTCCAACACCATGACGAAGGGCACTCACGTCATCGCCGGCTACGCGCTCGTCTACTCCCTCATCACCTGTGCGGGCCAGCGGACGGATCAGGCCTTCCTCTCGGCCACCGCCGAGCACCTCCGCGCGGCCGCCGGCTTCGGCGCAGCTGACAAGCTGACGTCGATGTGGATGATGCGTGCGGCGGCGGCGGTGGCCAGCACCGGCTGTGTGCCGCAGGCCACCTTCAAGGTCGAGGCCTACGTCCCGCTGCTGCGGCGCGTCAACACGGCCGACGACCAGCTCATGAGCAGCGCCCAGTACTTCCAGGACTGCCTCGTGAAAGCCTACCCGTCTGCGGCAAGCTTGGTGGAGGGCATGCCGGGCGAGCCCAGCTCGCAGTGGAACACGACAGGCGTCTTTGATGCGGACCTTGACGATGAGATGGAGGCGGATGTGACGCTCTAACGCGGCTCTGGTCACCTCACTAGTGGTTGCAGTTGTTCTTGTTGTTGTCTTTGATGAAGGAGGGGGGAAGTGAAGCTCTCATTTATTTGTTTCTGGCCGTTGGTTCATATTCGCCATTTTTCTTTTCGAACTACTAAAAGGAAAAATTAATTAACGTCGTCTGTTTGTTTGGTGTTGTGGTTTTCCTCGCCGTTGTTGTGCGCTTAATTGCTACGCTTATGTTTCGGTGTGAAGGCCTTGTTTGTTTCGGCTTGTTTGCTTTGAGTTTCGAACCTTGACGTACTTGTGTGGAGCTAAACAAATCTATTTATCTCATAAAAATCCAAAACAAAATGCGCACAGGTGTGCCCGCACGGATCACCGGAATCTGCTGCTGACGGGGCGTAGTGGTTGAGTTTTGGGTACGTCGCTTTCTGCAGACACGGATGCAGAATCGGGCCCGCCTCCCCTGGACTACCTTTCTCAAATACGGGACTTACATGTTTTTTGCTAGGCCGCTGCTGTTTGGCGCATCTGCTGTCGTTTCTTCTGCGAGCTTGCCAGCGACGTCCATCCCGTCTCCACTGCCCTCTCGCTGAGGACACACTTTTTTCGCCATTTTTTGTTACCGCTGTTTCTGCTTTTCCCCGATCCATAACGCCTCCTTGCGTCTCTTCTCCTGTGTCTCGTATTTTCTTTTCTCTGTTCTCTATTGGTCACCATCCATCTTCCCGTTTCTTCTCTCCCATGCATCCCACGCAGTGTCGCACATTCGCCGTACCGCAGACGTGCATACGTGCAGAGGTCGTTTATCAATAGTGTGTGGACGGTGAAGAGAGAGGAACAACAAAGTAACTGTTAAATATATATATATATATATACGCTTTCCTCAATGCAGAGCGTATTTCAGCTCGCTGCGGTGCACGGCATGCTGTACACCGGCGGCAACGTCGCCTTCGCACCTGATGGCACGCAGCTCTACTCCCCCGTCAACAACTATCTCTCCGCTGTGCAGCTGCAGCAGGCCGGTCACCTTTCGCTCTCCTGCAGCAACAGTACCGTGAGCTGCTTCGATCTGTCCCCGGACGGCGACCTAGCGATCGTGGTCGGCCAGCGCGGGTTGGGTTTCTTCTACTCCATCTCCGCCCGCGTGGTGCTCGACACGCTTTCCTTCCCGCCGAACTGCACCATCGCCGCCGTGAAGTTTAGCCCGTGCGGGAAGTACGTCGCGGTGGCGCTTGAGGCGACCCTGCAGGTCTACACCGCCCCAGCGAAGCGCGTCGTCAGCTTCCACGGCTGTCATCGCATCGAGCAGCTCCACGCCGTTCTCACGCGCCCCATCACAAACCTCGACTGGACGGCCGACAGCGCGCACCTTCTCCTCTGCGGGCAGGACGCTCGCATGAAGATCGTGCCGCGGCAGGGTAAGCAGCATCAGAAGGGTATGGCGCTGCAGCAGAACGCGCTGATCGGGCACCGCAGCGCCGTACTCGGGGCGTGGTTCACGAACGACGACGGGAGCGAGGTGGTGAGCGTGGCGGCGGACAACGTCGTCGTGACGTGGCACCGTGCTGCGATTACCCGGCGGGAGGTGCTGCAGGCGATCGCCACCGCGCAGCTGCAGGCACGCGTAGGCGAGGACAACAACGCAGAGGCGAGCGACAACGTCGAGGATCGTGATGACACCGCGGAAGAGGACGCCCCGTCACCCAGGAGTTTCCTGGAGCGGCAGCGGCTAGAGCAGCTGCGCCTCGAAGGGGTGCGGGTGTCCGTCGCGGACGACTCCTACCTGCCCCCCATTCTCCGCCACGCCTACGAGGTGAAGGATAAGTTCATGCTCGCGCACAAAGGCAGCGTGTCCGTCACGGCCTTTCACAAGCCTCGTGGCCTGCTCGCCATTGGCTACAGCAGCGGCATCTTTGCCATTCACACGCTGCCCGAGGCAAAGGGCGGGGAGCTGGCTTTGGTGCATCTCCTCTCCATCTCTGCGCAGTCGTTGACGGCGGCGGCCTTCTCACCGAATGGAGACTGGGTGGCCTTCGGCAGCGCTCACCTGAAGCAGCTGCTGGTGTGGGACTGGAAGGCAGAGGCCTACGTTCTAAAGGAGCAGGCCCACTACTACGACATCGCCTGTGCGGCCATCACGGCCGATAGCACGAACATCATCTCCGGCGGGGATGAGGGGAAGGTAAAGGTGTGGAAGGTAGCCTCGGGGCAGTGCTTTGCGACGTTCACGGAGCACACCGGGCCAATTACAGGTATCAGCACCAGCGCCAGCACAAACGCCTTCTTCACGAGCAGTCTAGACGGCACGGCGCGTGGCTACGACCTGGTGCGCTACCGCCAGTTCCGCGTCTTCAGTCCAGCGGAGCAGACGCAGCTGTCCTGCATCGCCGTCGACCCGTCGGGCGAAGTGCTCGCCACCGGCAGCAGCCAAATGAACAAGATCTTCCTTTTTTCGGTGCAGACGGGCAAACTTATCGACGTGCTGCAAGGCCACGAGGCACCGATCACCTGCGTCGCCTTCCACCCATCCGGCACCAGCCTCACCTCCGGCAGCATGGACCACAACATCGTCTTCTGGGATCTCTTTAACCAAAACGACAGCGGGGAGCGGCTGAAGGGCGATGGCGAGGTGCTGGACATTGGCACGGAGGTGCTGTGCGTCACCTACAGCAGCAGCGGTCGGCGCATGGCGGTGCTGACGGCGAAGCAGGAGATCTCCGTCTACGAGACCACCGTGGCGAACGAGCCACAGCTGATCAAGACCTTCCTCACCGCCTTTGACGCAGCGGGTGGATGGAGGAAGGAAGTGGGACCGAACAGTGCGAACTATAACACGCACTTTACACGCATCAGCTTTTCCCCGGAAGGCGAGAAGCTGTTGGCGGGCGGGGACTCGAAGTGGCTCGTGCTCTACCACGCCACACAAGGCTACGTCCTTAAGAAGTGGCCCATCACAACCAACCTCGACGTGCAAGGGGCGGAGGAGCAGTATCAGTGGCGCAACGCGACAGAGGCTGGATTTCTGGACGACATCGACGTGGACGACGACGACATCCACCTGACGCGCCGCAAACTGCTGGAGATGCCCGGCAGTCGTCACCGCCACTTCGCGACCGGGAAGCGCAAGACGGAGCTAAAGGCGCGGGCGATGGATGTGGCGTTTGCCGCGACGGGGTCAGAGTTCATCGCGGCCACCACCGACGGCTTGCTACTCTTTTCCATGCGTGTGTCGCGTCCACGCTTCCAGCCGCTGCAGCTCTCAGCACAGGTGACCACCGCAGAGGTGCGGCAGCAGCTGGAGAGCGGGCAGCCGGTGCTGGCGCTGATCGGCGCGTTGAACCTCGGCGATAACGCGCTGGGCGTGGAGTGCCTGCGCCGGATGCCGCACGACGCGATCCCGGTCGCCGTCACGGCCGTCCCCTCCGCTCTCTTTCCGCTGTTTATGCGGTGGGTGAGCGAGGAGATCGAACAGTGTCGTGGGCTGGAGCACGTCCTCCTGTGGGCACAGTCCCTCCTCCTGCACTCGAATGAAGCGTTTGGCGGAGTGGCAGCACAGCAGGACCCGCGGGTGCTGCCGGCGCTCAAGACGCTGCAGCGTAGTTTGTACCAGCACCGTCTGCTGACGCAGCTGTCGAGGGAGAATTACTTCTCCGTGAAGTACCTCGCCGATGCGACCCGCATGAGCACCTCCACGTTGGAACCTTTTGAGGATGCCGCGAAGGAGACGTGAGCAAGGCGAAGCCCTTATATTTGAAATGGTGCGTCTCTGCGTGTCGCACGCGCCGTGCACCTGGAAGGCATTTAAGCGTTGCGCGCTGCTCTTCCTCTTTGTATGTTGTCTTTGCTGTCGAGGATGGTGTTAAACTAATGCACTGGAAGAGGGAGCGCTGTGTGACGTCGGGAACGGACGATGCCGGTCTGCCACCCGATAAACGCTCCTCCTCTTCTTCCTTGCTTTCTCCTATTAACTGTACTAACTCGTTTTCAATGACTTCCACGCGATTAACCTCCTTGCGACGTCTGACATGACCGCTCTAACACACACACACACACACACACACGCACGATCTTACCCCTAAAAATAAAAAAGGATAAGAAAGAAAGAAACAGATGTACCGCTTCCTGTTGTGCTTCACTCTCTCGGCCTCAGCCCAATTCGAAGGCAACGCAGATGGTTTGAATAGGATGGATTTACAGGTCACCTTCATCTAGAGAAGAAAAGGAGGTGAAGGAGAGGAACTTAGATGCGCATCTCCTGTGACCTTTGCGTAGCGCACTGCTTGGCATAGACGGACGCGGCACAAGGGTCAACGCTGCAGATTGATTACCGCACTTCGACGTGTACTTGCTTCTATACAAGCTGGCGCAACAGACAGTGTTTCCGCATCCCATAACACACCACACACACACACAGGCATTTCTACTCTTCATTCATTGTTCCGTTCCTTTTTTTTACCTCTTGTGGGAATACTGTTTTGTTTCTGTCTCGTCGCCGGTGTTATGGACGAACGAATGCGCAGTAGCTTCGTTAAAAAGAGAAATACCTATATACATCTCTTTTCTCTACTACACACGCTCCCTTCTACAAAATAGAAGGCAGCTTTTTCTTTGTTTTCTTGATTGCATTGCTCTCTCGTTGACTTCGGAGGACATTTCATTGCTTCTGTCTTTCACACACACACACACACACACACACATACACGGGCCGCAGCACAGCGAGGAAACGAAGGAAGCCGAACATCAGATGAACGTGCCTGGCGAGAAACTCTTTAGCAAACTTGCAGCTAATACTGGTTTTTACTACTATTATTTGTCGGCTGATCTCACCTGAAGTTGGAATGTCCGATGCCACCTTTGCCGCCAGCTTCGGCCTCTCGCCGTTAGGGGTTTCCGGGCGTAGCACCAACACGAGCGGCAACGTCGGTCTTGCCGGCTCCGCGCTGCTGCCGACTATCACCGCGGAGCTGCGCAGCGAATTCTACCCTTTACTCTCCACCCTCGCCAACAGCGGCTGCGACATCTCCGCCACCTACATCATGGAGCTCTTCTTCACCCTTGTCCGCTTCGATGCCATCTTGCACTCCGACGAGCGCCACCTCTTCGTCAGCACCTCGCAGCAGCTCATCACAAAGCAGCTGAAGCAACTGCAGACGGTCCGCCACAAGGTGAAGCTGCTGGAAGAGAACGCCACCTTTGTGGAGGAGCTCATTGAGCGGTGTGCCGTACTGGAGGTGCTGTGTGGCAGCCACAAAGCGGAGGAGCTGGACGACGCCGAGGATGGCGGCGCCGCGACGGCGACTACTGCACCGGACATGGGCACAGGGGTCGCGGAGGAGGACGCCGAGGGTGGCGAGGTCAGTAACACGGTGAGCAGCACCAACAACAACGAGGACAGCGGCAATGCAGGTGGTGAGCCGGCAGGGGCGGTGCGGTCATCACCATTACAGCAGCAGCAGCAGCGTGTGACGTCCTCGCATGGCATGCGGCCGGCACTGCATAGGCCCCACAGCGGTTCTCTGTCCAACACGGTCCGCAGCACCACCAGCAGCGCACACCGTCGGCGATGCTTCTCATTTGACGAGGACTTGGACGAGATAATCCACCGTTCCAATGACGCATTGGCTGCTCTACAGCAGCAGGAGCAGCAGCAGCAGGAGCAGCGGCAAGAACAGGAACGCAGAGGAGGAGATGAGAAGAGGGGAACCGGCGGAGACATCAACACGTTCACTGTGTCCTCGTCGACCTCGCCGTTCCGACAGCGGCACTTGCAGCGTCCGCCGCCGCTGCCGTTGACTCTGATCGGCGACATCACTCCGACTGCTACAGCTGCTGGTCTTGCAGGTGGCACACCTCGTACGGCCAGCCATGATCAACAGGGCAGCCAGGCCGCAAGCAGTGCCGCACCAACAGCCGAGCCGTTGGTGGAGCGCGGTTCGAGTGATGAGGCAACGGGTGCGTCACCGTCGGCGGACGACAAGGAAGGCGGCTCAGCGATAGGAGACAACAGCGCTACGAACATCAACGCAGGCGTCGCCCCGGCGGTGTTCGCCGGCGTCCAGCACGCGCTGCAAAATCACTTCCGTCAAAACGTGAAGAAGACGCTTACCGGGACAAACTGGACTGCGCCAACAAGCGCAACAGAGACGGCACCGTCACGCGACCCCGGCGCAAGTGAGTGCTCCACCTCGCCCCCGCTGGCCGACGTGAATGTGTCGGACTCGGACAAGGAGAAGACCTCGGTGGCTACCGCACCACCGCAGCAGCAGCCGTCCTCCTCGGCGTGTCCTCCATGTCGCCCTTTCTCCGCCTCGCAACTCAGCAATACATCTAACAATAAAAACAATAGTCTCTACCCTGGCCAAATCAACGCCGCTTCCGTCAATCAAGTTAATGATTTTTCTGTTGACGCCGGTGGTGGCGGCGGCGGTGGCGACCCCTACGCATCACTGTATTTCTCGACGAACCTCGACCCGGTGGATACGGCACGAGTGTGGGATCGCATGTTCTGGGGCTTTCTGGATGGCCGCACCGCCACCGCGGATCTCGTCATCTTGCTCAGCCTACTGAACAACGCCAACGCGGCACTGGCAGCACTGCAGGTGAGCGAAATGGGCGGCAAGCACGCCGGCAGCGAGGCGGCCCCCGCCGCCATCAGCAGCACCAACACCGCCAAAGCTGCCACGAAGCCGGTTGGGCACGGCATCGGCAGCAGCAACCGCCTCGCTGGTTCGAGTATGGATGCCGTTGTGAAGTCACCTACGGCACCGGTGATCCCCACACCGGATTGCGGCGCACTGCCACTGATGGAGGCATTGAAGCGCACCGGGTCGTACGCGGAGCTCCTCCCGCCGCCAGTGTTAGGCAATATGAGCTTTGCTTCTGCGGTGGCGGCAGCGGCGGCGGCGGGCGTGTCCTTGCCGGCAATTGCCGGTACTGCTGCTGGTGGTGCTGGCACGACAGAAGACAGCGCCTTCCCCCGCATCCGCCGCGACCGCGCAGGCGAGCTGACGGAGGACGAGGAGCAGGCGCGGGCGGTCTCTTGCACGACCGATGCCCCCGCCTTCTTCCCGGGCAACAGCGCCGTGGTGAACATGCGTGGTGGTGAGGGCAGTAACCTGACGTACACCACCTCAAACCTTGACAACGCCGCACTACCGCCGCCACCACCACAGCAAACGCCACGGCAGTGGCTCAATTTGGAGGATTACGCGAGAGCAGAGGAGGCACGTCTGCACCGCGATTTCTGGGCCCACATCCCCGCCGTCCTCGTCACGCTGAGCGAGGGCCTGATGTACGGCGACAGCCATCGTGGAAGCAGCGCGCACGCACAACAGCAAAAAGATGAGAAAGCCGGCAGCGATCCCAGCAGCAGCGGTGCTCGTCGAGGGCGACAACGGAGTACGTCGACTGCCACGGCAGCGGCGGTAGCGGCGGAGGCAGGCGGTGAGGTGGCCGGCGCGCCGGCCAACGCGAGCTTCCTCGTTGACACTGCCGACCAGCGCGGCGTCCACAACGGTGCGGAGGACAGAGAACCGTGGGGGGACGTCACGCCGCCGCACGCTGAAGTCGGCGATGACACCGGAAAAGAGGAAGATGAGGAACGAGAGGAGGCGGCGGCAGAGTCGGAAGTCTTTGTGCCGCTGCACCTCCCCAGCGAGGAGGCCCTGCAACTATTGCCCACCTTCTCCCCACTGCTGCGAAACTACACCGGTGCGGTGGGGAAGCTTTTTCATGTCGCGCCGGAATACGCGCGGTCGACGCAGGCGCAGCACGCACGCGCGTTGGCCAACGCAGCCGCACAACAGCAGCAACGACACCAAGTGCAGCAGCAGTTGGACACACCAGGTCTAATTGATATCAACACAGTAAGTGGGTTTACATCAGAGAGCGAGTTAGGCGAGGTCAGCGTGGCCGTCTCCACCGCAACGGGAAGCATGGTACCGGAGAGTGGAGGGGACGGCACCGCGCGGAAGCTGACCCGCGCGGCGACCCATCGCTCCTCTGTCACCAACCTACCGGAGCTGCACGAGCGAGCGCACCGCACCTACTCGACCAGTGGAGATCGTCGCGGCGCACCGCCGCCTCCAGTGTCGGGTAGAAATCGCAGTGGTGGTGGCGATGCAAGCAAGTCCTCGCAGATCAACGCCCTCCCTACTGCCACCGCCGCATCAACAGCAGCTACCTCTCCGGAACGGACAGACTTGGGCCTGCTGGGCGAGGGCAGCTGCACCGAGCTCCGCCCCGTCGACGTCGTCCTGTACGCCCTCGTCACGGCCGTGTATGTGCAGTGTGCGATGCCGATAAGATATCAGCAGCGCCGGCAGATGATGCACGGAGGTGCGAAGGATGGAGCCGGCACAGGCGGTCGCAGCACGGCGGTCGAGCACAGTCTGGCGCTGGAGGAGAGGGCGAGCCCATCCGAAGGCGGCCGCAGCCCCGCCGGCAGCTTCTCCCCCCAGCCGGGTCTTGGGTGGCCGGGCGGGTCGGCCGTCACGCCATCGGGCATGAGTTTCGCGGGTGACGGCACGGTCGCCGCCGAGGACGCGCGGGCGCAGAACTGGAGTCTCGCCAACGGCAGCTTCAGCTATGCCGCCGCCGCTGGCAACGTTGGTGGCTATCCAGGCGGGTGGTGGAACGGCACCGATCGCGGCCACCTCCCGTCGAGCTTTAGCTTTGGCCGCGCACCGCACATCCTCCGCCCGTCCCAGCAGCAGCAGCTTTCTAGCCTGCTCCGCGGAGGCAGGTACGACAACGCCTCCTTTGCAACACTGCAGCAGCAGCAGCAATACCTGCCAAACTTCTCTTTTAACCTCAGCGGCTCGCCGACGGAGGCGGCGCTCGCGTTCCTGCGCGGTGCGCACGACGACAGGGCCAACGGTGGGAACGGCGCGCGCGTGAAAAACGGAGAGGACGGAGATGGCGCTACCACTCGTGGCGCCCCTCTTTCCATGAGCTTCTCCACACAGGACGTGCTTGCGTGTGCGAACGAGTTCTCTTGGGTGGCGCTGCCAAACATCATGAAGGTAGAGCTGCAAACGCTGCAGGCCCAGCTGCAGGCCACCCGTAAAGCGGTCCAACGCATTGAAGCGCAGGTGCGCGGCGAGCTGGCCCTCCTCCTCTTTCGGGTCTTGTCCATGGTGCTGGACTGGCTGATGCCGGCCGTGTACGTGGCTGACCCCCGCATCTGGCTATTCTACCGAAAGTGGTGCTGTGACTTGTACCGCGTTCTCTGCACCGACCTTGCCTTGCTGGACGAGTTCCGCAAACTGCTGAATCAGAGCGGTGTGGCGGTTATCGCGGCGAGTCCAGGCGTGGACACGGAGGCGAATTACCCCCGCGGCGGCAGGCGAGAGGCGGGCGGTGCCTCCGCGAAGTCCGCCACTGCCACGCCAACCTACAAGCCCGCACGATCGGAGGGCAACAGCCGTACACCACCGCGGCCTGCACCGCAGCCGAGCTCGCTGGGATCGTCATCCACTGGTGCTCCGACAGTGACGTTGGGTGCAGGCGAGGGCCGTCGCACCGCACGAACTGGTAGCTCACCGGCTACGGAAGGCAATGAGAGAGGAAGGACAGCTGCTGCCTCACCTTTATCGCAGGAGGCGCCGCCACGCGGCAGCGGCGGCGGCAGCGCGGACGAAGCAGCACACGAAAATGGTAGTAGGCGCAGCAGCAGCAACGACAACAACGAGGATCCGCATCACCGCAACGCCGCAGAAAGCGATGAGGCGGACCTCTACAGTTTTATTCTACCCGGGTCAAGCCTTGTCGGGTCTGTTTTGTTTACCACTCCGCGAGTCCAACCAGGCGTCTCTAACCTCCTCGGACAGGGCGAAGCCGACCGCAGAGGGGAAGGGCTGGCGGACACGGCCTCCCTCCGTGCCGCCCAGGCGCTGCTGAGTGATGAGGATAAAGTAGTCCCCCTGCCACGACCCTTTCTGCTCACCAAGCTGGTGGCCGCTACGTTGCGTGGCATCGACGCCGACGTTGCGGAGTCGCTGCTGTGGGTTGTGGGAGAGGCCACAGCGGCCTCACACGGCTCAGCGGAGGACGGGGAGAAGGCGGATGTGGTGTGGCAACGTGCGACCGTCGATGGCATCGATGGCTTCGCCGGCAGCCCTACTACGGTCCAACGCCTCGACGGCGTTCCCAGCAGCAGCCACGGGGCTGCGGCGGACAACGTGCACAGTACCGCGCAGTGGAAGTCGCAGCGGCCGCGGCACGGCTCGCGCACCGCCTCTGGCCACCGTATGCGCACATCACAGCAGGGTAGCACCAACAACAACAGCAGCAATCGTAACCAAAACGATAGCGCCGACGCGAACGTGCTCGCCATCAGCAGCCGCAGAAATGTAAGTGCGACGGTGCGTGGCAACTCCTCTGCGGTGTCGGGTAGGGCGGGCAGCCCACACTTCAGTGGAGACTTCGTCGATGACGACGATGATGATGATGATAGCGACAGTGATGACTTGCCGGGACTCAACCGGCGATTCAGCAGGCCACGGTGGTACAACGACGAGGCGAGTGGACGGACTCGCCGACGGGGCGCTCGACTGCCGCCAGCGCCGGTGCAAAGCCCCGTGGTGGCCGGCCCTGGCGGTAGTAGCGGGGCAGATGGAAGCATGCCCGCCATCGGCGCTGTCGCTGGATTCCCCATCATGCCCCTCCACGCGTCGTACGCCGCGGCCGACCTGTCCATGAGCAACTCACCGCAGCTGCCGTACTCGAGTTTGTCACAGTCGCTGCCTTCGCCCTCGCAGGTCGTCGCCGTAGCCGAGGGCCCGATGTTGGTCCATCACCACCGCTTCCGCTACCCGTCTGTCAGCGGCTACGCTGATGTCGCCCAGCTCTACCTCAGCACCCTGGAAGACGCCGAACTGCTTCTGTCGCCCCACGATCCCATCTACGCCTCTCTCATCCTCAGTACAGCCGACCTACACGTACACGACCTGCACGACCGAGAGACGGCGGCGACGCTGGTGAACTCCTACCTGGCGGACGTGGGAGAGGAGCAGATCCAGGGCCCGGTGTGGGACATCCTGTCGACGACTCTGAAGCCGATAGATGGCACCGGCAGCTCCTCGGCGGCGGCGGGCGGTGGGGGCTCCGCGAATGCCACGACATCGTCGGCCGCGGCGTCGCCGGTGCCGGGGCGTGGGTTCTCTGTGACGCGGGTGCGGCAGGGCAACACCGGGACCGGGTCAGGGTGGAGCCTCCCCCCGACCAATAACGCATCTGCGCCTTCAGCGGCGGCAATGAACCCGCCGGTGCCTCAGCAGCCGTACGTGCCGATGGTCATCGCGTCATGGAACAATGAGCGGGAGAAAGACGAGTTTCTTGGCACGTTGCGCGTCTTGCGGCAGATCCAGGTGTTTTTGACTCAGTGGTAAGACGACGCGCGACGGCGCAGATGGGAAGGGTGTCACCTTTGGGCTTTGTTTTGTGGGTTAAATAGCATTACTTGTGGGGCTCCTGTGGGTGGTCTTATTTGTTTTCCTTTCCGTCGTGTGGAGGAGTGCGCTCTCTGCGATCTTTACGGATCTCAAGAAGCAGCGAAGTGCATGCGACGCGTGTAGTGCGCCAAATCAACCGTGTTCTGGGATTGGTAGAAAGGCGAAGGAAGAGAAGGGTTGGTTCGGTGAGCACCGACGACGGACTCCGACACAAGCAGGCGGCCTTTAAAGCTCCTGCAAACTAACACCTCTTTCTTCAGCTTCCTTTTTCTGCTGCGACTGAGTCAGACCTTCGGATGGCACAGCACCATACCGCTCGGCAAATTAGAGTAATGCAACGCTGATGCTCATAGCTATGGAATAATAATAAAACTGACCCACCTCGACTTCTTTTATACCTCTCTTCCTCGTTGTTGCGGTCGGATGTATTCTTCAATGTTGAAATATTTTCTCCCTCCCTTCAGGTTTTTTGAAGTCGCGCGTTAGACGCCACAGATTTGTGTATGTATGCTTGTGTGTGTGTGTGTGTGTGTGTGTGATTGTGTGATCGCTTTACGACGACCATCCGTTCACACCTTGATCTCCTGCTTTCCCGTCCGGTTATTTCGGATGGCAAACGTTTGCAAAGGACCC